CCTAAACAAAAGCTGTATATAAAAACTTTCCTCCTGATACCCAGCTGTGAAGCCTCCAGCTTCCTCAGAGTATGGCTTTTCTTCAGGGGTGATTAATTTTAACATTGCTTTTGGACATGGGGACAGAGGAGGAAATCTCCAAGGCTGATCAACATGACTTTTCTCAGATGACTATCCTCTCAAGTAGGTGCTGCTGATAGAATGCTCACATAACTTACTCCACTCCAGGCCACACAGACACCAGACTGGTGGACACCTCCCAGCCTCTGCCAATCCAAGGTTAAGAAAGAAGAAAAACAGGACACCCTCCAACCCTTGAAGGTTTTCCCAGACAGGAATAGAAGTTAGGATCTAAAGAAGTCAGTCTGTTCTCTTAGTTCAATTATTTATTTTACTTAAAAAATCAGTTCTGTTCTACTATGATGCTCTTCTCTACAGGTGTACTCACACCCTTGGCTTCTCCTTCCTTTAAGTCTCCCTCTATTTTCTTCACCTTACACACAGACTACTTCCTAATCTCAACATACAAAACTAGCATCACATCCTGAAGCATATTTTATTGCAAACGTCAGCCACACCCAACCATCAACCTACCAGAGGTCTCTTCGCTGCTACTTCTTCTACAGGGAAAGCTTTGAAAAAAAAAAATAAGATTGAGGAGTTAGTCTGTTTGGCAATTAAACCAAGACCTGGAAATGCCCGAAGACAGGTTTCCTCACTACTTAAAGACTCTGTGAAGAAGGTGGATGTTTCCCGATGGTCAATAAAGTGCGTTCAGACGAATGTTGTAGTGGCAACACTTCGTCCACCCCAGCAGACAACACACTGGGCACCTGCCGTGCTGTCCTGAGGAGGAGCCCGCTCTGCTCGCCCAAGAGCGGGAAACCCGGCAGCGCGGGGTGACAGCCCGAGGTTCCTCCCAGCCCTGGGGGCGGTGGGGGCTCCTTTCTTCCCCCGCGGGCGCAGCCGAGCTCCGACCACGCCGCCGCCCGTGACCGCCCTGCCCCACCTCACGGGGCCTGGGCCGCGCGCGCGACCCCCACCCACGAGGGGGGAACCCGCGTGCGCGTGGGCGGGGCGCGCCCGGGAGCGCCCCCCGCAGGCGGAGCCGGGGAGCGCGTCACCCCGCGGGATGGGACCACCTCGCCTCACACACGGCCCCCACGCACGGCCCCCCTCTCCCGGCCGATAACGGCGGCCGCCGTCTCGCCGCCCGTCCTCTGCCCTGCCCTCACCTGCCCTCCACGCCGCGCGGGTCCCGCCGCCGGGTGCCGGGGACGCGCCGGAGCCTCGCGCCGCCGGGGCCGCTGGGTGAGGGGCGGGCGAGGGAGGCGGAGGATTTGAACGCCGGCAGTTCTGCTCCCCGCGCCGGGATTGGCTGCTGCGCCCTGACGTCACGGGGCGCGCACCTCCGCCTCACCGCAGGCCGGCCGCGCCGCGCGGCGCGTGGGCGGGGCTGCATGGGCCGGCGGCTGCGGGGCACGCCGGGAGGTGTAGTCCTGCCCTCGGCGCCCGCTGTGGCGGCTGCCACGCCGGCCTGGAAAAGCTACGCGAGTCTGTGCTCGAGCCCCTTCCACAGCCCGCGTCCCGAGAAGCTGTCGCCCGGGAAGCTCCCGCATGCCCGCAGAAGGGACACGCGTGCCTTCTGGTCCCTGCAGATCAATTTGTACTTGCATGTTACTGTCAGACCTTTCTGCTGAAGAAGGTGTTTCACAGAATCACAGAATCAATTAGGTTGGGAAAGACCTCTGACATCATCGAGGCCAACCCATGACTGAACACCATGTCAACTAAACCACGGCACTAAGTGCCAAATCCATTCTTTCCTTAAACACCTCCAGGGACAGTGACTCCCCCATCTCTCTGGGTAGCCCATTCCAATGTCTAACCACCCTTTCAGTGGAGAAATTCCTCCTACAGTCCAACATAAACCTCCCATGGCACATCTGAAGACTGTGTCCTCTCATGCTGTCACTTTCAGCCAGGAGTGCAGTCATTCCTGCTTAAGGATGCAAAAAGCATTGGTTTGTATGACAGCTCCATGTGTACATTGTGCTTAACATTTTCTTTCTGAGTATAGGAACAAAAGTACATCCAATGAGGCGAGGTGAGCTGTGCATAAACCTGCCTGCTACTGCAGTGGGTTTGCACAGCACCTCAGTCCCTTCTCTCCGAGCTGCAACTTATAGGCACTAATGCAGGTACCATTTCAGGTGGCAGATACCTGGTGAGATCACTATTGGGGTGGGTAACAAGCAGGATTTATTCTGCCATTTGAACCGAAAACACTTAAGAGGCATTTTCCAGTCTCTCACAAATTTCCCAACTATGCTTTTAAGAAGCTACAGCAAATGCTTATATGGACCCAAGAAAAGAATGTCAGCAGTTGGTGATCCTGGGTGACTTGGCACACTGCATTGAGGTGGAAGACCATGGTAGGCCTTTTTCCTTCTGGGGGAATACAAAAAGCAGTGAGGTTTCTTTGTGTAGCTTAAAGAATAAAAGCCATAAACTGGTACAGCAATCAGATAGAAAACTAGAGCAAAATTTACCTCACAAATAATAAAGAGTTTCTCTTGCAACTGAAGAAAATTAAGAAGCACTTAGGCACTGACTAGACTATGGTTGTATGTGAGAAGCATAAAGCTGCCTGAATATGCAGAGGTGATGAGGGAATAAATTGGTGTGATCTTGACAAAGAGCTTGAATCCAGAAAATATAAGCAAGAAATTTGGCACTGGTTATTAGTTCCTCATGATTTTTAGCAATAAACATGATCATATCAAATACATCTGATTTCCTTCTCTGTCATTTTCCCAAATATTGGGTAATTACCTGTGCCAGAGGGGCAAGAATAAAGTTGTTCGCTGTAGGTGGATCTATGTTGGAACGTAGGTGCACTGTGCCATTGTAGCATAGATTCTATACATTCTATACATTCCCCCTAAAAGAATAGCTTTACAAATCAAAGTAATTTCTACGACACTGTATCTAGTTTGTAGCAGGAATTTGTGGTGTTTCGACTCTTGCTGACTACCTGCACATGAGACCTCAATAATGATGCTGGCAAACTGTGAAAATCTTCATTAACCACTAAGGAAAGATGTGTTTTCATGAGAGGAGCAGTATATATGGGATCATGACCTTGCAGAACACCTATCAGTCTTACAGGCAAAGCAAATTGGGCTGGAAGGAAGTACAACATGACATTAAATTCAAAATGCAGTCTTGAAAATGAATGTTCTTGAATTAAAAACTAGTGCTTATTCCAGCATAAGTCTTGATTGTGTGTACATTTTGGTTTTGTTCCTCTTTCTCCTCGGCTCCTCTTAAGCTTTCCTCTTCTCGCCCAGCTGTGATGTCATTTTCTTTCAGAGGTGCTGCAGGGTTTGAGGTATCCTGGGCTCTGTAACTCATTTGATGATGGCTCTGTTATGCTGCCACTGTGATTTGACATATCAGCTCTCCCAGTGTTTACTTTCTCTCACCAGATCTGCTCCACCTTTCTTCTGCCCAAAACTATCCCTCCACAGGGTTTGTCATTGTATGTACATTTTGCCCAGCAGCTTCTACCAGAGGCCCAGCTTGGTTAGACTCCACTCATTGTCACAGTGTCACTGTCTAAAAATAAGGGGTAACAAATCTCCTGAAGAGATAATAAAAATAAATATTGTCTTATTCATGGATCCAATCTTTGGATCATAATCAATATCTTAAAAAAGTGCATTGTGATAAAATATTGTGAAGAGCATTATACAGTGTTCTCCAGTGTCATTTGGTACATTATACAATTCACAGCCTATATTTCATAAATTTATCAGTTTATTGTGTTGACAGAGCTGCCAGAAGCCAATTCTACTCAGTATAATAAAGTCTTTCCTTTTCTGCTCAACATGTTTTAAATATTAAACAAGTTTAGTGCACTTCAGATGTTACCTTCTACCTGCCTTTGAATCTTATTGGAGTTGCATAGCTGCAAAGCACAAAGTGATACTCTTGTGGGTCACTGTAAATAGAGAAGTGAGACACTCAGGAGTAAACGTCACTGATTACATTGGAAAAAAGCTGGTAATTTAAACCAGTGTCAGTCTGGAAATGATTAATCTGATGGTAGACAGAATCCTTTAGGGGAAGGAAAACCTGTTCTACCAGGGAGGCTGTACTGGGAGCTGATCATAAAACTCATTTCAGAAGGTTATTTTAAGTTAGTGATGGAGGAGCTGAGCAGGGATGAGTGAATCCCCCCATCAAGGTGGTCTGTGTATCTGTGTCTTCACAACCATTTCCCATCATATAACAACATGGGCCACTGGGCCTCTTTTGCTTCCCGCCAGCAGCTCTGTTCCTGGGGCTCTGCTGGCATGGACTGCTGTGGAGATTCAGTTCGTTTTCTGGAAATATTGAGGGATTTGGGATGAAAATAGGGCAAAAATCCGGTTCCAAAAAAGTGCCTAAACTCACATGTGTATACATAAATATAAAGTATTTATATATAAAATATGAAATAACAAAAGTAATATAAAATATAATATAACATAAAATATAAATATAAAAATATATGTGCATACATACATATGTAATATGTGTATGTATATTATGGATATATGTAGATTGCATAATACACAAGGGTATAAAATATAATATTAATAAACACACACACACACACATGCAGTGGGTATTCCTTTCCACCCAAAGATTTATGTTTTCAGAAGATGTTATTTACAGGGAACCCTCTCAGCAGTGCAGGGTGGAGTAAGTAAGGTCTGTCTGGAGCAGATAATTGCTCTGCCATAAGCAATGGCTCTGGCCCCGGTCCAGCAAACATATATGGGTGGGCAAAAGGGTCACTGCTTCACATATGTGATAATTCCGGGGGGTGTCTCATAATTTAGTTAATTGCTGCACTCGTATGCATGCAATCCCTCTGCAGATGCAGCTTTTCTTTCTTTTGGGGTATATTTTTTATATCAGCAAAAACAACCAGGAAATAAAAAAATGTTGCATTAAAATTAGAATGGAGAGTCGACTGCTGAATCGGGGGAGTTTTTCCGGTGTTTTTTTGTTGTTGTTGTTGTTTTTTAAGCCTAATTCACCTTAAGGAATCTCAAAACCAGCCACAAGGGAAAGATCTGTGAATTTTTGTAATGGAAAGCGGTAGCCTCTAGGGCCCAGAGGATATGCAGAGAGGCATTTTCTCTTGCTGGTGCAGCTGAGAGCGAGCGAGCGAGCGAGAGCGAGACCTGGAAATGAAAGTAAAGAGATCAGGAGGCACATGGAGGGAGCTGCAGGGGCAGCCGATCCAGAAGCAGAATGCTGCCTTCTGTAATTAAATAGCACTTACTATTATTATTACTTCTAGTAATAATACATTAATAATATCTCTAGTAATACAATACCATTTATCAAGGAAAGTTTACACATAGTGTGGGGGGAAAACCCGAGGAGAGGTGAGTCCTTTATTTTTATTTTGGGGGGATTATTTTTGTCTTAAACCAATTCTGTATGTGTGTGTGTTTGTGTACGTAGAAAGCGGTGGACTTGAGAAACAATAAAATCTGGATGTTGCTTCATTAGAAAGTAAAGGTTTCAGACAGTAAATGCACAGATGAAACGTTGTGTAATTGCAAATTTTAAAAAAAGTGAAAAATAATATGAGTGAGATTTTGAAGCTAACCCCTCTTCCGCCGAAAATATGGGGTTTGCAAAAAAAAAAAAATTGTCAGACATCCTAATCCCACCCCCTGGAAAAAAATGTGGTAGTAGTCTAAAATTGGATAGCTAGGGGAAAAGCCCCTGGGTTTATATGGAAAACTTAGTATTAATCGCGTTTGTGCCTGTTTGGGGTTTGTAGGTTCGAGATCTGTCTTCTGGTCTGTATTTAGGCTGCAGTTTCCCCCTCTTGTTTGGTACAAACCCCATGAAACCGCAGAGAAGCCCTTGTGGAATTACTTTTCAGATGCACCTTCCGTAGGGGCTTCTAAAGTTTATCAAATAAGAAGATTGTGCTTTGGTTTTGTTTGTGTTTTTTGTTTGTTTTTAATTCTTTAATGTTTCAGACAGTTTCCGGGTGACAGGGGACGTTATGTGGTTTGGGTTCGGTTTGTGTTTTTTGGGGGGTTTTTTTTTGGTTGTTTTTTTTTTTTTTCTCTTAAAGCCGCCTCCCAGACTTCTGGAGATGTGTGATTTTTATTTAAGCGGATGGGGGGGTGGGGAAGGAGGAAGAGTATGTTTTGTTTTGTTTTCCTTTTCCCGGGGAAGCCTGGGGGTCGCCTGCCGCGGGAGACCCCTGCCAGCGGGGCCGGGGTGGTGGGGATGCTGGAGTGCTGGCGTCCGGCAGAGCCTCGGGGGCGCGGAAGGCGCCGCCGGCCCCTCTCCTCCCAGGCCGGCCGAGGTGGCGCCTCTGTCAGTGGCGGCCTCTACGCAAGGCCGGGGATCGGCGGCCTAGTGCTGGCGGTGGGGGGAGGAGGCGAGCGAGGGCTCCCGCGCCATGCGTGTGGGAAACAGCCCCGGGACTTAGTTTTACAAATGAGGCAGAGGAGGGCGAGCTGGGTGGGCTCGAAACCAAGTGGCCCGAGGGACGGGCAGTGTCACCCTTACTCCCTCTCCTCGCTCCTTGGCTGTGCTGCGGTGGGGGCAGGAGGAAGAGTGGCCTGTGGTACATGCGGGTGTTATGTGTGGAGTACAAGGCTGAAGGGAACGGAAAATGGGGTGTTAGTGGCTGGGGTGGTCTCTTGAGGCTTTAGCTGCCGCTGCCGTCCCCCTCCTGGGGAAACTTATGGTCACTGCTTTTATTTTCAGCGACTAGTGAGGGGGCTGTCACTACCTTGCTCTGCATTCACTGGGTGCAGTGAATATAGCTGGGTGAAGCTGGTGGCACCCTGATGACCCCAGTGGTGTTGCACAGCAGCAGTGACACTAGTGGGGTACTGGGATGTGAGATGGCAGCCATGGAAGTACCTTGGGATGGCTGGTGTGTGGAGGGATGAAGGTGTAAGGCCTGATGGGCACAATGTGGTGATGGGGAATCCAAGAGCTGTTGGCTGTGAGAAGCATTCAAACCCAGGGAGTGGGGCATGGTAGAAAGCAGATGCAGGAGTGAGCAAGAGGCCAATTTTGTAATGGGCTTTGCAGCTTGTCTTTTGCTTGATGTGTGCCCAGGTACCTATTCTGCTGCACCACTGAGGTGGCCAAACTGCGGCCAGTGAAAAACTCCCATGTTGCAGACCAGTGCATCCTGGAGCCTTTTTCCTCGGGAGCTCCAGTCTCAGTTCTACAACCTGCCACTTGCATTTCAGTGTACTTATTTCTGGCTGAAATGTTAAAGTCAAAACCTGGAAGTCAGTCAAGTGTGAACTCATTGTCATCCCATAAATACAGTATGAAAACCTTTGCCCAAATTCAGCTCTGGCAGGGTTATGAACACCTGTGTCCTCGATAAGGTAAATACAAGTCTTTCTGTTCATCTCGTAGTGTCCCTACCAATCTGCCTATCTAGAGCATATCTACCCAGCTTGTGATTCAGGCACCCAGTTTACTGGCTCATGCTTTCTTCTGAAGACAAGAAAACCATTTTGCCTGTCTGCAGCATTTTATTTCTGTCTGGCAAATAGTTTGTAACTCATTGACAAACTGTGAATAAAGTTCTCTCTAGATGCTGGACCAGAGAGGATAAATGTCTCCAGACTGAAAGGATAAGAGCTTTGTAGTGGGGATATAAATACTCTGGATTTGAATTCTGCTGGTGATTTGAATAGACAAGTCTGGACAGACAGATTTGGGGAGGGGGGAAGGACTCTAAGACACAATGCTTCATGAAATGTTTTCTGCTGTGTTTCTAAAAATATTTAAAAGACAGAGAAAACAAAAGCTAAACAGGCTCTGCGCTTAAAATTAATTAGGTAGTAGCTGTGGTATGGTGTGCAGCAGAACTGAAGTGTTGCACATATGGATGGCTTGCTGCGTGTTGGATTTGCCAGTGTAATGAGTGTGCAGCTTGGTCCGAGGGTTGAATGAAGCACGGCAGAGAGGCTGGAATGATGAGGGGAGACATAAGTGACTGAGTTTGCTGTGGTGGGGAAGGAGGTGTGAATAGCAAAACAAGGAGTCTGAATGGCAGCCTTCAGCAGTATTTGGAGCAGGCAGGACAGGGGAGGGGTCTGCCAAGCATGAAGGAAGGTCCTGGCGTGGAGTCACATTGAAAGGGAAAAGTAGTTGTTCCTGAGAGGTGTTCAAAAAGTTGTTGGGGCAGCAGCATGTGGTGTGCATTTCGAGGGTGTTGCCATGAGGACATGAGTCTTATGTGAAAAGTCATGACAAAAGCCTGAATGTATGACAGAACTTTAGCAGAGGAAGCTGGTCATCCACTTGCAAGGAGAGAGGAATGTGGGACAGTATCAGAGAGCAACAGTCTAGAGGGGAGATCAGGGCTGTGGTTTGTGTCTAAAGAAGGCAATGGAGGGTTTTGGGTTGAAGAACACTTACTGTTGAAGATGAAGGTAGGACTGCAGAATAAACAGCATGCAGTAAACACAGAGGGTTGTTTTTTATGAGGGTTTTGTAGCAAGGATCAAACTGTAGCCATGTATTGTGGGACTTACAGGGATGCAATAGGTTGGTCAGCCATCCACAGGAAGCAAGGATGGAGTTATTCATGCTGGATGCAGTGGCAATGGTAGTGAGGAGAGAAAACAGAAGGGGAGCTCTGGGCTGCAAGAAGTGTTGGGTAACTCTAGAAAGGAGATGTTCTGGAGCCATTCCCTGTAGTGCTTTGGCTGCACTCCAGGTTTGGGTCAGTAGTGTTTGAATGCCCTGCTCTGTGGGCAAGCAACAGTAATCAGTTCTCATTGTAACACATGCCCACATCCTGCTGTATGGGATGTTTTAGCAGTGGGGTCAGGGTAGCCGTGAGAACAGGTACTGATCTCTTCTTCACTTCTTGTAGAGTGTTTTAAAAGCTGAGCTGAGAAACAGAAGTAGACTGTGTGTATCAGAAGCTTTTCCAGGTAGTGATTTGTTTTGTGGATATACACAATTGTAAAGGTGTGCCACAGCATTTTTTGGAATGCAGCCATTGACTTTGTGATGACCAGCCAGTGTTCAACTGCTCTCCCCACAGTGACCAATAATCTCCCTTTTCATCAGATCTGTGGGCTGCTGCTTCACTTCCCTGACTTTTGTTCTCTCCAGCATGGCTCATGGCTCAGGGAGCAGCAAGAGCAGGGCTGCTCCTCCATGGAAGGACAAGTGAGTAGCCAAAGCTGATGACAGTCACCAGCAAAGCTGTCACTCAGTAGGGTACAGTCCCATCATATCTGAACAGTGCAGTCAGAACTAGATGCCGGCAGCAATGGTCCATCAACAGTCCCAAAGAAGATGAGATTGTGAATCGGGTCCAGGGTCCAACAACGAGTCCAGCAGTAGGAGATGGAGTGGGCATATAAATACTTTGGATTTGACTTCTGCTGACGATTTGAGTCTGGACAGACAGATTTGGTGGGCAGGAAAAAAAGGGCTCTTTAGACACAATGCTTCATGAAATGTGCCATAGACAGGACCATAGACAAGCTGTCTGTGGTGCAGGTCATAGGTTTGTCCTAGAAGTAGGACTGAGGAGAGGTTCACCCACAGTGTAGCTCAGACAAGGCAGTATACGTGGACCTCGGCTGAAATGGAGCTCCTAGACCATGAACAGAGGATGCAATAGGTGGGAGTCTAAGGTGGGGCTGTTTGGAACACTTCAAGGCTTTCAGGGACCTATTCAGGGACCAGACAGCTGGAAATCCCTTCTTCCTCCCCGTGCTTTCCCCATGAGCCTTTGTGAGGGTCCACTTGACTCTTTTGTCTCCTCTTCTCCCCCTTCCAGTTTGTCTCTTGTCGTTTCCCATGGTGACTTTACCCGCTCTTGTCTCTGATGGCCTTTGAGGTTCTTCTACAGTGCTCTGGGTTTACTGTGTCCTCTTCTGTGTATTTCGCTGCTGTCTATGTGGAAATGGTTCCTACTGCTGCTCTTCCTCTTGTCTGTTCTCTCTTACTTTATCTGTTTTTGCAGAATCTCATACAAGGAGAAATATCAAATGAATTGCCTCTGTCTTTTTTTCTACCCCTCAATCCTGTCTGCCTGTAGCATTAGTGATCATATTAACCTCACGGTCTCCTTGTTAAATTTCCTTGTTTCTTCCTGATTGCTCACAATCCAGCGTATTTATAAATCATTCCAGGCCTTCTGTTGGTGTTGTACTGAAGTATACCAGCTCTTCTCCATCACTTCTGTTGAAAGCCTTTGTAGAGATGCTGATCATAACTCACCTTGTCTGTTGGCTTTCCCTTTCTTCCTGTGCTGCCCATCCTGTTCCAAATGCCGCTGCTTAAAATCTTCTACCTGCTGCTTGAACCAGATTGCTCCCAAATTTAATGTCTGATGACTTACAAACTGCACAGTGTCACTTTCAAGCTCTTGCTTCTTTCTGCTGCCACTTTTTTCTGTGCTTTCCTTCACTCCTGCCTTTCCCCCTTCCCCCAACTCTCCTTCTTCATAAAGGGCAGGTATCAATTCTGCATTTTGTGTGGCACAGAGAACAATCAATAAGGGCTTGCTGAGTTGTCAGGATTGATTTTTATGTACCTTAAAGGCCTCTTCACTCCGTTCCAGACTGAATGTGCCATAGATACTGCAGGATATCTTAGAATTATAGGGATGGTGTGTGAAGGGAATTAAGGGAACTGGGTGAATGTTCTCCAAGTTGTTGTAGTGTAGAGTTAGAGAAATTAGTTTTTATCTCAGCAATCCCATGCTGAGAAGGCACAGTGTCTTCATCTGCACCTTATCTCAATGTTTCTGTGCTTGCTGCTTTTGTCCCCAAGTTCCTGTTCCTCAAATGCTGAGCATTTGTGGTCGCAGCTGGTTGATGTGAAATTTGCTGTCACTAGCAACTCTATTTTGGCACAAAGTGCCATCTTTTCTTGCCTTTGTTATTCTTTTCTTGTGTGACAGACCTGTGTACCTTAGAGAAAGGTCAGGGAGGAGCCATTCCAAAATTTGCTTCCAAACTGCAAGGGATGAAGCTCATGTATCTAATGATGTGATTCAAGCCTGTTTTAGGTGAGAAAAAGGTCATAACTCCAAAATGGCTCCATCATACTACTTATTTGTCTGTGCTTGCAGAGATCAGACTGGATTTGGTCAAAACCAGAAAAGTTACTGTGCCCGTAGTTGTCTCTAAGTGTGGATAACTTTCTCTTGAGCCTTCCTGAGGCACTGCCCACCCCAACTTTAAAACGCTGCAGGGTGGGCCTCTTTCCCTCTCCAAGAGAGTATTCTCTAGTCTGTACCACTCTAGCCTGCTGATTTTCAGCATGAAATCCTCATTGCATAGATTCAATGCTGTCCTTTTATGTGGACCATGGCAAGCAATTCCATCTCCTTCCTTTGTCTCTCTTTGTGATGTTCCTCCGTACGCCTTATGTAGATTACTTGTTTCATATGCTGTGAAGTAAACCAGTTTAAATCTGTCCCAGGTAAATACTGGTCAGAGTTGCTTACATGGGAGGGTCTCAGCACAAATTCCTGAAATGACTGCCACTGCAGAGAAAATGTTGTTGGGGTTTTTTTCTCTTTCCTAGAAGGCAATCATGATAACAGTTGGTTCCCATTGCTTTATGTACTGGCAGCCTAAGTGGAGAGCTCAAATTGAAGCAATTCCTCTTTGCCCATGTATCCTATCAGTGGGATGTGAGAAAAAGCAGATACTTGGTAGTGAGCTGCTTGCTGTTCTGTATCTGTAGTGTGGATAAATCATGGCCTTTGGTGTTCAGGGCATCTGCTCTGGAACATTTTGTTAGTAGTAAATTCAGGCACAAACAAAATACTGTGCTGTTTAATTGCCAGCAAGACCTAAAATGACTCATTTTGTGTTGTTTCTTTTTCTTCTTTCTCCACAGCAAGTATAATGGAGAGACAGAAGAGAAAACAAGAAATAGAGAAAGGACTTCAGTTCATTCAGTAAGTGGACAACCTCAATGTTCCCCGTGGATTTGGAGGCAGTTGTCTTTCTATTGGGGATTGCAGGAGCTGAGTTCTTCCTATTCACTGCTTTGGGTTTTCTGCATGGGAAAGAGATACTGTCCTGAGGATTTTTGCTGTGATTTTTCAGGGTGCTTCTTGTCCTGCCAGCTCCCTAAGCTTTAAATTCTTTCATTTTAATTTCCTTGGGTTTTACCCTCCATTGCAATTCCAGGATGATTTTTATAGTCAGCATAATGCTAATAGTACTTGGACCTTCTACTTCATCTTCAGCATGAAGATCTCCAAGTCCTCTGTCAACAGGGTTATCCCACCTTTCTTAGGAAGAGAGACAGTGTTTCAATTCTGTAGGTGGGGAAAGCAAGGTAAATAGCTTGTTAGGTACCCCATACCTATGGGGTGCCTATGGGAGAAACAGATTTCCTGGGCTCCTTTACAGTTGCCAGCCAGGTCACTCTTCTATGAATATCATGTGGCCTTCTAGAGCTTGAAGTGGTTGCTTATGTAATAGTTAAAAGTCCAAGTACTTCCTTATAAAATACAGTAGTATTTTTTCCCTCCAATGTTTGAGTTAGCAAGGGCCTCCAACTCAGGTCCAGGTTCCATGGTGAGTAATGAGATTGATTTGGGTGCTTCTTAAGACTCTTTTGCATCCTGCAATTAGTATGGCTGAAGTCTGTGCCTCTACAGTAGGAAAAAACCCCACATCTTCCACGTTACATATTTATATCCTGTGGTGTGGCCATGATATTTTCACCCCAGTCTGAGACTAAATGGGGCTGATAACTCAGTTTCAGAGAGGCAATTGTCAGGTTTATTTTGGTAGCATTTACACAAATGCACAAGATTCTTAGGAAGAAAATAATTTAGAAATTTGAGGTGATGTTCATGCATCTGGGGTGTATCTTGAACTCTGAATCGGGGGCAGTGCCATTTGTTGGTTTGTTTTGGTGCAAAAGAGATAGCCCAAGTTTATAAGCAGCATGAATGTTTCTTACAAAGCCATGACATTTTCTGTACTTAATTTTAAGGAGTAGATGGTGATCAGATGAAATCTAAAAAAAGTTTATTCTGTAACCAGTAAGACCATGTATGCACTGCAGGTGAGAAAGGCTATGAAAGGTGCTAAGGATTCCTCTAGAGCCTATTGATTTCTCCTTGAAGAGGAAAAATAAATATATGAGGACCAATCCTGAGTGACTTGGATGGTCCAGTTTGAAGAACAGAACCTTTCTCCTAAGTCTCAGTGCTGTTGTGGGGTAGGTGTTACCCACACAAGCACTGCCAGTTTTGTGGCACAGCCTTGGCCAACAGAGCTGGAGTTAAATAGCCTCCTAAACCTGCATTGTTTTCTCTCTTCCTTTTGTGGGGTAGACCCAAAGGCATGTGGCTAAGTTAAGGCAGAGGAAAGTGATTGCGTGTATCACTGTATGTCTCTGGTTTCACAAAGGATTTGAAGAGGTCTTGGAGTGCCAATCTGGTTCCTCTCATTACAGCCAGATGCACATAAAATACACTTGTATTCTTCTTGACAGTCTCTCAAAGTCAAAGATGTGGTTTCTTAGGTGATTGAAGACACGTTACAGACACATTGCACAGAAAATAGCTGAGAATAAGATTCCTCTAGTTTCAAGTCCCTTTGAGACCTGACCAACACTTGACACCACTGTGACTGTTACTGAGCGTAATGGTCTAATGCTCCCCAACTGTGTTCTCTTTGCCTCAGCTGCCTTTTCAGTGATAAAATGAACTGAGATCATCAACACAGGACCAGAAAGATGAGTCCTTCATGAGACAAAAGCCCTTATTTGCATGAATGCCTGTTTCATGAGTATTATCTCTTCTTTTTTTTTCAGGTCCACATTACCCCTAAGTCAAGAAGATTATGAGGTAATGGAGAATTTGTTTGCTGAGGTTGGGAGCCCTCTGGATAGCAAGATCTGTTCTATTGCACAGCCATTAGTTTACATACCAAAAGTGAGGAACGTGGGATGGTCTGTCACAATTTGTCTGTGACCTAAAGTTTTAAGGTTCTGACAATGACAACTTTCAGGGAAAGGAGAAGACACTTGAGTGTTCAAGAAGAATGGGGATTTGACTGGATTATTCTCCTCTACCAAAAAAACTGATGTTGTACATGAGGGTGGGAAGGCAAGAGCATCTTAGTGGGCAAGAAGTTTGCTAAAACATGTGGAAAGGAATGGGAATTGGGAAGTCTCTCCTGTCACTGAATATCCACTTGTCTACTTGTTCTTTCCCTGCTGCCAAGGCCTTTTTGCAGAAGCTGGTGAGAAACTTGTTTGCAGAGGGCAATGATTTGTTTCGAGAGAAGGATTTCAAGCTTTCGCTGGTACAGTATGTAGAAGGGCTGAACGTGGCAGATTACGCAGCCTCTGACGAGGTGACCATCCCAAAGGAACTTCTCTGCAAGCTACATGTCAACCGAGCTGCCTGCTACTTTGCCATGGTGAGTGCCTTCCCAAGTCATCCTCAGGAGCCAGGGAGGACATCACAGTTGCAGTGCTGTGCAGTTGGAAAAGATGTCAATGGGGATTTCAGTTGGTTTTGTCTGCTACCTGGTCGAACACTGGAGGAGATGATGACACACAGAAAACGCTGATATCACCCCACTATTGCACTGTGTCTTGCGAGAGCAGAGGAAGGATGTGATGGAGATGGGGTCAGGCCTAAGGTACTGACAGTGCAGTTCTGGTCCACATTGGTGAAGAGCTAGTACAATCCAGTGTCTTCCAGTGCTGAGCAAGCATTTCTCTGGAACACAGTTTGAGTATTGCTCTGGAGGCTCCTGCCTCCTCAAGTAGGCACTGGAAGATAGTAAGAAGGCTTTGGGTCTTGAAAGAAATTTCAGCACACACATGGAGAAAATTCTGAAATACTCAGGCTCTAAAAGGCTTCCATTTTACTGAGACATATAACAGCTTTCCTTTATGGCACAACCCCAGAGCAGGTCCATCCTGTTCGTAATGAGGCTGAGTCCCCTGAAAATTAGCAAGTGGTCACATAATTAAAGACTGCCAAGTGTAACCTGCCCAAGGTCGAGGGGGAGAGAAGATAAGGTTGCTCAAGCAGCCTCAGTTCTGTCATTCACTGACTTTGAAGTGTTTTGAGTTTTGCAAGATTTAACAAAATGTTCTGTTGATGTAGGTGTGTTTGTACACTGGTGGGTGCATGAGGTAATAAATATGTGCTTCCAACTGCCATTTATATTCCTGTTTTCTGCTGAGAGATAGAACATCTGTATTCACACACAAGGAGGAGGTAGTCTGCTGTGCCACATCTGACTCCAGGTGGTCTCCTCCATGCAGGGATTGTATGAGAAGGCACTGGAAGACAGCGAGAAGGCTTTAAGTCTTGATAAGGAGAACATACGAGCGCTATTCCGGAAAGCCCGCTCCTTAAATGAGCTTGGAAGACACAAAGAAGCGTATGAGTGCAATAGCCGATGCTTGCTGTCCCTCCCACATGTAAGTTTTTGACATACAACTCAGCTTGAGTACTGTGGCTCACAACCTTCCTCTCTGCAACATGCTTAGTGTGAGGCCAGGGGACAGTGGAAGAGGATGCTTGTGCTCAGAAATTTTGTGTCTCTGACTCAAAGATGTTTGTCCTCCCATGTTTCTTCAGTCCAAGTCACTTCTAAAGATAGTGCCAGCCAGAGACACCGGTTAGTGACAGCAGGTTCAGTGGCCTGTTTGTGAAGAGCAAAACCCTACCCTAACAAAATGTGAACTGAGGCCATGAGAATGTTTTAATTTGCTGCTTTTATATCTCTAATGGGAATGGCTAAGAGTGTGGGACAAATGGGAGTTGGAGCTTTGGAAGGAAAACGTATAGTTTTCCTGTTTTGGATAAAAATGTCTCACGGTTTACTTACTGATTGCTAAGGCAAGCTGAAAAATCTTTTTCTTTCTTGAACATGCAAAACTGTCCTTGACATCACATGTCATAGTTATTTTTATGTTCACAGGTGTGTAAATTTTTGTATGCAAAGGGGGCTATCTGCATATACTAGGACCTAAATATTTTCCTCATAATGCTTTTGTTGAGCATCGTCTTAGGCCAAATATTGAACAGGAAACCAGACTCTGATTACACAGGTTCTAGTAAGCACTGGTTAACTTTGCTAAATTTGGTTCTGATCCATCACTGTAACGCTATTAGAAGAAAAATGCATCTACCTCTACACAAGAAGTTAACTTTCCTTTATTATTATGTTATAGAATCAGTCTTTGAAAGTCTTATTAGCAGGTAGTTATTCCTTTTGTATAGTTTGTAAATTCTACTTTCTTTGACTTGGCAGAACAGGGTGACCAAAACATATTGAAGGTATCATGTTTGGGGATGAAGAATTGTTTTTTAAACAAGCCCTTTTATTAACAAAAGCATCTAATGTATGTGTTTACATAAAGCCAAATCTGCCTATATTTCACATTGCAGTTGAGCCACTTAATTTAATTTAGTTTTTAACCATATAGTTATGATTACATAGCTCCCATTATTATCATTACAATCATTGTAGTCTACAGACAGTTTATCAAACTTCTCTATGGCAGGAAAGTTCAGCCTAATAAACTCCATATTGAATGATCTGCATTCTCTGTTCTAAACAATTCAATCATGTAAATTAGCATACCCCATTGTCTTATTACCTGATTAACAGAAATCATAAGCTTTCTCTGCATCAAAGACAAGTCATCATCTCACTCTTGTTTCCATTACCCTCTGGAGCACATGGATAGTTCCATCTTGCATTGCTGTCATTGCTGAGAACTTTGTTGTCAAAACAGAGCCTGTCTTTAAACTTCATTGATGAAGGGTCTGTCACTCAGTTGGCTCACTGTCTAGCAGAGCTAACTTATTTCTGAGTGCAGATACTCAGCGCTGCTAGTTTGCGGAAGTTCTCAGCATAGTGAAATTAATATTCCTCTGTGGTATGCTTTTTTTGGTATGGTATGGGGTGTTTTAGAAGAGGAAATGGACAGGTTAGATTTTGTCTTCACTGAGTTCAGAGAAGACGGTGACAACTCATGTTGAGGGTGTGGGGGAGTGCATACAATCAAAAAATGGCACTCCAAATTGAAGGGAAAAGTTAGTGATAATGTGGGCTGGAAGAACCAGAGGCTTGTCATGTGTTGAAAGGGAAAGGACTGAACCTGCACGGAGAAGGAGATTGGAAAGACCAGCATGGCAAGTAGAGAGAAGATTGGAGATGAGGGAGGAAATGTTGGAATATAGAGAGATATCACAATAGGTTGGGCAGATACTTTTTTCTTCTTCGAAGAAACTGTTAAAGTACTCTGATATTTTTGCGAACAGGGAGAGAGAGGAAAGCAGAAGGAAACATTTGCTGGTATAAGTAAGTTAAGAAGGTTGTGGGCAGAAAGCCCATGGTGGTGTGGGCATGGGCACTGGGCAGGGAGGGTGGTAAATGGCACACAATGAGGAAAGCTAAAGGATCTGCTTGACTAAGCTGAGGCAGTTTCACTGGAGCTGAAGACAGTGAAAATGCCTTCTAGCTAGTAAGTTGGAAACTGAGACTTGGTTTCAGCTTTAAAAACAGAGAAACAAACAAACAAGTAAAACAGGCTAGTGAATATAGTCTGCATATCAAAACTGATTATTAACTCTGCAGCTAGCAGAGAGGGAAGACATGCAGGCTCCTTCCCAGGCATGGAGACCTTGAAGAAGCTGTATCAGCCCCTAGCAGCCAGCCTTGGCAGCTCTTCCAGCCATCCTGCCAGCAGGACTCATAAACCCTGCTTTTACAGAGTGGGTGCTTTTTTGGAAGCAGATATTTGATTCTGATCTTCTGCGGCATTGAATATTCACTCTGGACTTCTGCAGAGTGTAGGGCAGAGCTCTTGGTGCAACTGCAGCATCTTGGCAGGACTCAATGACAAGAACGCTGAGGTCTACCTGGACTCTTCTAGGGCTGCTCTGGGAATTGCCCACCTGCTGCTGTCTAAAAAAATTGAGGCCTCTTGGTGCAGCCCAGTGTGCACAACTGCATTCCTCTTTATTTCATTCTGCGTGCCACAAAACTGAAAGTGTCCTGTCAATGGTTTTGTCCCCAGGATGAAAGCGTCACACAACTGGGACAGGAACTTGCCCAGAAGCTGGGATTGAGGGTTCGAAAAGCATACAAAAGACCTCAGGTATGACTTCTTTTTAGTTAGAGGGTATCCTTTGGCTCGTGCGGATTTACTTTTGCAGAAGTGAGAGGTGCTGCTCTGCAGTTACAGACACATGCACAGCACCCTGCCAACCCTCTAGCAGGCTGCTAGCCTGTGTACACTTCTTTGTGATGGGGGAAAGGCCTGCACTTTGGGAGAGCAGCAGGTACACTAGTCAGATCCCAGGAAAGGAGGCAAAAATTGAGTCCTGGGTCCACTAGTTAACACCATTGGCTGGATCTGTAACTTGCCTCTGCAAGGAACTGCTGCTGTAATTGGAGTACTGTAGGTGTTTAAATGTGTACCCTGCGATGGAGCTAGAGGGCGTCAGGCCACTGCTAGCACTCTCCCATAAAGCTGCCTTGGTCATGGATTTTGTTGTCAGAAGTAGGGAACATAAGCTGGTAGTGGAGGCTGACGTTTGCATTTGCATCCTCGGCCCCGTGCGTGGTGGTGTCTTAATCAACCAGAGTGTTACATCTCCAGAGGGGCACCTTTGTAATATGAGATGGAGTGATTGGTGGGCATTAAGTTTGCAGAGAGCTTTTGGGTAAATCTGGCTATAACGTTTTAATCCTTTCCCCGATAAACTTCACATGTGATTTGCCTACCCTGAAAAGAACTCCTTGATGTTGTAGCAGCTCTCAAACTGCTCTCAACACTCCCAAATGATTCTGTCTCAAAGAAAGGGAAGCTTTTTGCAGAAATACTTTTTGTAGCTGTTCGTTATGTTGGCCTTGCTGCCTTTTTTGCTGTTGTCATGTTACTCAGTTGAGATGGGCTTAAACCACCTGTATGTGAGAAATATAAAAATTAAAAACTCTGAAATGGTTTTTATTATTTGAAATTTAGTGATTGGTATTTTGATAACTTTGCAATCTCTTGTGTTGACTTCCAGCTCTTATTCCAGCGCTGTAATGCCTTCCCAAAACAGTAATTTCTTAATGAAAAGAAACAACCTTCTGTTCCTCAGGGAAGTTTTTTGCTTCCTGATTGTGTCAGATGTTCTGAGGTGTACAGAACAGATTTATGTCCCTTTTTAGTGTTAAGAAACATGTATCCTTGCGTCACAGCCTTTTGGGGTGGCTTTTATTTTGGGGCAGTGCCTGGAAGGAAACTATTGTAACCCAGCTTTGCCTAGTTTATGAGCATTCATGGGCTGAATTCTGCTCTAAAACCTCTCTCTTCCTTGCAGCAGGAATTGGAAACATTCTCGCTACTCAGTAATGGCACATCAATCAATTTGTCAAACCAGGTAGAGTTTGCATCCTGTGGTTATTACTCTTTATGGATTGTGTTACTAGAATGCTTTGCAGTTTTGCTTACATGCAAATTTATAATGATCTTTTAGGATTGAACTGTATTAATTAGTTTTCCACTTTTAAGGAATATTATCAAGGACATTAATTTCTTTGAAAATATTTCTAGTGACAGCATTTTTGTTGTCAGTAATTAGATTACTGAAAATGGTAATTTTGCTTAGTTATTGTGAATGTTTGCTTTTTCTTGCATTTTAAATAAATTTTCATTTTCAAGTTTTTATGTAGCTAACAGCAGTGCTAAGTAAAAGTCAGAAAGTGCAACCGCTGAAGAAACATACAAAATTAAATGCTATGATGTACTGAAAGAGGTACATACACAGTTTATGTACTCTTTGTAGTGTCCTGGGACATCCAGGTGGCCAGGGCACTGTACAAATGCTAAGGTAAAATATGAGAAATTGTGGATTTCGTTGTTCTAACACTGGGTAAAAAAACCCCAAACTAAACACTTGCTGTTTTTACAGGCTGTTTGGTAGTTCAGACTGCTCCTTAAAGCAAACAAACAATAAAACTGTAAACATTGTAATTTTGTACAATAAGGTGGGTTACTAAAGAATTAGTTTACTTCTCATGGTTCAGTGTCTTGCCTTCACATCTTTCTATGAAGGCCAGTCAGCTTTCTTTAGTGGTTGTGCCTAGTTTTTAATTTGAAAATCTTTATTTTGCAAGAATTGAAAGTAGTGCAAAAACTATTGTAGTAGATGCAATATCTCAAGACAAATGCTTTACTTGTGCCTTTTTAAGTTTAAGCTAAAGGCACACGTACTTACCTCTGTTTATGTTTCTGTAAAATATGGACTCAATTTATTTCTTGCCTGGAGCTCCAAGTCAGCAGTTGTCTTGGCGGAAACATTTTCCTGTTTTGAGTTTGCTGTAAAAGTTTGTGGTTTTTAGATCACAAAATATGTGAACTAAGAAAAGGAACGTTGTGTAAGATCAGGCTAATCAGATCTCCCATGCTGTGGGCTGACTGATTGATGCATCCTGGGACTTGGGGCACAGTGTTCTCACCCACACATGAAAAATCCTACTCTATGTATGGATTTATTCAAATGGTTGGCTATTGTGCTGGGGTGGTATTCCTTTGCAGGAAAATGATTTGTACAGGGATTAAGGTAAAAACAAAGAGGTTCCTTGGATTAATGGCCTCTTAAAGTTCATTGCCTTTATTGCTCTATCGAGGAAAGAGGCCATAAAGGAAAAGAAGGGGTCATATGCATTTAGTAGTAGTAAAGAATCTCATCTGTGAAGTGTGGATATCTGTTTAAAGATTCATTTATCACAATACTTTTCTCTCCCCTTTCCTACATCCTCTTTGCAGACTACTTCCAATGGATTGGGTTCGATAGATGACATCGAAACAGGTAAAAATATTCCTCTTCTCAGATTTTTGTGGCTTCAGAAAGGTATGTGACTAGACTGGCAGGCCTGAGAGGTTCATCCCTGCATTTGTGTCTCTTCTGCACACTCTTGGCTTTGGTGACAAGGAAGAGAGAAGGTGGTGGAAAGCAGGAATGTTTTTTCTGCAGAAAAGGCCAGGCCTAGTGAGAGACACATCTGGGAATTAAAAGGGTCTGCTGAGATACGCAGCTCTCTCCAGCTGTGCTTTCTTGAAGCTTGGCAAAGCTTCTGAAGCTCTGCTCCCAGACAAAACAGTCCAGGTAAAGTGAAGTTAAGGTAGTAGGCACTGCTTGTGCTTTGAGTGTGTATTGTACTCCAAGATGTTGAGATGGAGCAATTGAAAACAAAAGGAGTTGGGAGGGACCAGGGAGAGCTGAGTTCAGGGTTAGGCACCCAGGAGGAGCAGAAGGAGGGCTAACAAGGTTGCTTTTCTCATGCTGGGAAACAAGTGACCTTAACTCTGCCCCTGTAGAAAGGCTTGCTAAGTGTGTTGCCCTTTGTCATGTGCTGGAGCACTGAGCTTGTGCCTCTGAGCACATCCCTCTTTGTTCCTTTGAAAGGTAAGGAACACACTTACCTGTGTGTGAGGGTAAGTGTGAGGACTTACCACTGCAATGGCTCTTTTTATAGAAAGAAACTAATTTCATCGTTAAGGTGCTTTCAGAAACATGTTAGTTTTCTGTTGAATGCCAGTTCAGCAGTTGAATGCTACATGTGATCATGAGACCCAGTTCTGTGAATTAAGGAGAGTTTTTCACATTATCTCGCAGTGCTAAAATGAACTGGACTCCTACTATAGAGGAAAGAGTGACTGCGTCCAGTAAGCTCTTTATCTAATTAGGATTTGTGTAAGAGCAGCATGCCACCTTTGCTGCAGTTCAGGCAGACAAAGCCTTTACTGCTAGGAAACCTTTTTCGAAAGCACTGGAATTATGTGTTATCCCTCTGCCCTGAGAGTGGTGTGCCAGCAGGAGGGCTGTGGGTGCTGGGAACCTTGAGAGTTTCAGATTCAAAGCTTTTTTAGCAAGGTTTTTTTTTGTTGTTGTTTTGGTTTGGTTTTGAGATCCAAACTCTTCAAGCCCTTTCCTCCATGTTTTGCTTGAAGTCATCTGATTAACTCAGCCTGTTCTGCAGAGATCATGGCTCAGATCTGGCTCAGTATGGCCTTTGGCTAGCTAATGCACTAGGGAACCACTGTTGTTTGGGGAAGTGGAGCTAGAAACTGGGCTTTTAAAAACTCTGTACTTGCCCCTCTGGGTCAGACAGGTGTATGGCCAGAGAAGCTGCCAGGTGGGAGGGCTTGGTATGAGACTTGGTTCATGGGAGCATATAGACAAGACCCTCACTGAGCTTATAATAAATACCTGGAGCTTAGTGTCATGGCAGTGGCAGAAATCAGGAGGGGGGGTGTCTGTGAGCTGCTCATCAAAGAAAGCTGTTTTATTTTTTTAAGATGGAGCAAACATTAGGTGAATGCAGGAAGTGCATGAGCTTTCTGTAAGGAGAGTACATGAAATATGGGTATCATGGCTGGTAAGGTCAGCAGATAGGGTGTCCTGAGGAAAGCAGGAATGGGAAAGGAGGGACAGGAAAAAAGATGGGACAGAAGAGAGTGGGAGGAAGTGGCTGAAGGAGTGACAGGGGTGGTCAGAGAGAGGGGAGCAGACATCTCCCCTCTGCTCCTTGCAAGTAGTGGAACCTGTTGGTCCCTGCTCTTTTCCTTGCCCTTCACATGCACTGTGCTGTGCGGGGTCCCATGTTATTCTCTGCCGTTTGGTTGTGCATTCAGCTTTTCTGGATTTGGGGCCTCTTAAGATGTGTGAGGGCCTCTTTTCTTTGCTTCCCAGTCTGAATGGAAACTGGAGGACCTCATTCATTCCTCAGAGAAGGTCTGAACTGCTGGATCCTTTGGGGCCCTGTCATTGTGAACCCTTTTGCTCCCTGCTGCATGTGTTCCTATCCCTTCCAGCATGTTCTGAACTTCTTGTTGGCCTCTGTAGGGATCTTGACAGTACTCCAGATTTAAACATCTGAAAAATGGGAAGGCACAAGCCATCCCTTTGTACTGCAGGGAATCTGGCTGAGCTGCCAGCTATGAGGCCATCACCAAGGGAAGCTGGATGGCTGGCTCCCGAGTGCAGATGGGGTTCTGCACCAAAGGGACATGAGCCGAGAGAAGTCATCTGTAGATACAGTAACAGGGCTCGCTCAGCCAGTCCCAGTTACAAAGGGATGGCCGAGTTCTTGTGGGGGCTGAGTGAGCAGAGCTGGTACAGACAGGAGGCATTTCTTGCTGGATCAAGTTTTGCGTCTCCAAAGCTTGTCTAGTTTCTTTCCCAAAGTTATCAGTCTTTCTAATAAAAGCTATTGTCTCTCCTTCCAAACTTTGTCTTGCTTATAGCCTTAGACCATTGCAGCTACAGTGCAGCCTCTGGGATGTGGGTGGAGAAGGTAGCATCTTTGTCTTATTTCTTTTCTTTTATTCCAGGACATCTACACAGGGGCAGAATTAAGGTAGTTTGGGTGCTTGGTTTGAGAACTGCAAATGTAATACTGCATTTTCCAGATTTCTAACATTTGAACTTCTTTTTTTTAACCTTTAATTTTTTTGAGAATAAAATGCTCTTCTTTGAAGAATATGTGCTTGTAACTTAACTTCATTTAACAGAGGTTTATATTGCATGATGGGAACATCTTACTGTTTCAGTAGTGTACTGGAGAGGGAAAGAAGCCTTAGGGAAAATCACTGCCTCTCTCCTGGCTCTCACAAGTTCCCAAGGGGATGTTTGCTGGTCCCGTGTTGAGGGGGAGTATGGGCAGCCACCTTCCAGCTGCAGACATCAGGAAGGACTCAAGAGCAAGGAATTTACCTGAGTAAAGACAGCTGAGTGAGTCTGATGGGGATTTCTGGGGACACGTTGATAACATAATGTGATCTGAGCACTCAGTCTCCGACTCTCTTCTCAGCAGGGCCCGGTGTTTTTTATCTTCTGCTGTTTAGGAAGCCTGGGTTTTTAGAGAGGGTGTATGCAAGTAAGCAAGCTTTCAGCTGGGATATCAAAGCTCCAAGGAGTAGAGAAGGCAGTGATCTCTGCCAAACGCATTAGTGAGGAACATTAAAGAAAACACCAGGTGGTGGCTTATAGAGAAATCGGATTATGTGCCCTTGGCCTTTAGTCCTGGCCGTAGTGAACTCAGTAACTGCTCAGCCACAGGTTTTGTGTTGTTCCTGGTTACTGTACTGCTTGCCAAATCCCGACAGTCAGACTGGGCACTGGCCCTTAGAATGTATTTCAGCTATTGGTGAGCCATTGGAGAGCGGGAACAAAAATGAAAGGGCAAGTACTCTTCAGACTAGAGCCTCTCCTCTCGGAAAATTGGCATACTTCGTTTTTGTGATTTGTGGAGTTGTACAATATTGTTTTTGCCAGGCTGTGCTCTGCTTGCCTCCTGCAAGAGGCTCTCCTGGTGACTGGCTCTGTTTCTCTCCCATCACAGACTGCGCTATGGACCTGCAGTGCCTCCCGGCTCCTGTGGCCGCCTCCATCCCTGTGAATGATGGGCTGGCCCCTTTGCCCTCTGACGCAGATGCAAAGGGCTTGCCTACCTCGCTCCCTGCTGCCAGCTTGCTCCCATCTCCAGACTGTGTACCTTTGCCAGTGCCTGAGAGCGTGGAGGACTTCACAGATGGGGACATCATTGGGGAAGAACTGGACTCCCTCCTGGACTCCCTTGCTGAAGGGTCACCATACCCTCTAGTAAGAGTGGGCACTGCATGGGTCCCCTGCTTCTTGTTCCAAATATGTCCTTGGAGCATGAGGATATGCATGCTGCCTCTCTCTGTAATTATTTTCTCCTAACTCTTCCTCTGGCAAAACCCATTCATTACTTCCTTTATTTCTGCAAGTGGCTTGTGAGTATCTAAAGAGCCCTCCTCCAAGCCTGTTTTGCCGTGTGCAACTTCATGGAGCTGCCTCTCAAAATGTACCCTAGGTAGCCTTCCCCGGACATTTCCTTCCACCTGGCCTCTGGTGTCGAGGAGTTGAAGCAGGTCTGAGGGTAGAAATGAGTGAGGTGAAGCAGGAATGGATGTATTTTATACAGTGGCCATGCTCTAAGGTTCTTGTATTTTGTGCAGGCTGCATTCAGCCTATGCTCTTTGAACAGGTCTGGAAGCTGCAGACACAATCTGTATTCATACTTATGTTAGATTTTATTTGCCAGTGTTGCTGATGTTATGTGAGCCAACTTAGGTCTGGAGGCAATATAATCACATTCACGTTGGATGCCTCTGAGCCAAAAAGCCCTGATGGGAGGTGCCACGAGTCATGGTCCTTACCCTGACCTCGGTGCAGCGTGTACTCAGCTGCACTGTTTCTCAGCCTGAGCTGGTTTAAGTGCCCAGCACAGGGCTCTGCCTTGCAGACTGATGAGTTCAGGTAGCCCTACACCTCCTCAGGGATCTTGGTCCAGACCGTTTGCAATATAGATAGATTGGAAGGTCTGTGGTGGACTGAGCTGCCAGGTATCCTTTTGCTTCAGATAGTATAGCAGGCACCTCAGTGGGAGCCTGTTGCTCTCTGTTTCCGTGGTTTAGCCCCAGTCAGCAACTAAGTACCATGCAGCTGCTCACTCACTTTCCCCCTGCCCCTTCCCCAGTGGGGAGGATAATGAAAAAAACTCAAAAATCCAAACTTGTAGTTTAAGATAAGAACAGTTTAATAATTGAAACAAAATAAAATATGATAATAAAAATAATAACAATAATAATAATAATAATAGAAAAGGAGAGAGAGAGGGAGGAATAAAACCCAAGAGAAAGAAGTGATGCATAATCCAGTTGCTCCCCACCCACTGACCAATGCCCAGCCCATCCCTGAGTACCAACTGGTGACTTCTGATCTAGTCTCCCTAGTTTATATATCGGGCATGATGTTTTGTGGTATGAAATATCCCTTTGGCTTGTTCAGATCAGCTGTCCTGGCCGTGCTCTCCCGCAGCTTCTTTTGCATCTGCTTGCTGGCAGAGCATGAGAAACTGAAAAGTCCTTGACTTAGAGTAAGCACGGCCTAGCAACAACCAAAATACCAGTGTGTTATCAGCATTATTCTCATCCTAAATCCAAAACACAGCACTGTACCAACTACTAAGAAGAAAATTAACTCTGTGCCAGCCAAAACTAGGACATCAGATTTAAGTCTCTACTCCTCATTCCTAATGTGCTGTTCATCCTCCTCCTTCCTGATTCCCCGAAGTCTCTGGTCCAGGGCACCATTCCTGCCAACCTGCCAACCGAGATGCCCCAGTTGATTCCTGTGTTTCCGGGGGGAACTCCGCTGCTGCCTCCAGTCGTGACAGCCAGCATCCCTGTCTCCACCCCTCTGCCACCCGCCTCCTTTGGCCTGGTGATGGATCCCACCAAGCAGCTCTCCTCCTCCTCTGTCCTGGATGCCTTCGAGGCCCCACCAGGAGGAAGTGGTGGCTCTACTTTAGATTCGCTGGATTCCCTGGATCTGCTTCCCTACACAGACACACGGCTCGATGCCCTGGACTCCTTTGGGACAAGCAGAGGGTCACTGGATGCCTTGGATTCCTTTGCCATTGGTAGGTGTGGAGTGACGGGGTTTTATGCTGCCTTAGCTGTGAATGCACGCCAAAATTATTTCCTTCAGTGCCGAGGACATCCATCATGTGGCTTTATCTGCTGGTGTGGCAGAATGGGAATATAAATGTAGAGGAGAGCAGGGAGTTGTCTTGGACAGAGCAACTGAGTATGTTTAGCTCAGGAGTAATGAGAAAGGCTGTAGGTGTGTAATCCCAGACAACCAGTACGTGCATGGAGTGAAGTTTAAAGAGGAGAATGGAACACAAAGGTGTATAATGATGAGTGGTGAGATTTAAACCTGGCTTGGTGTCCAGGACACCTCCCTTGGCACCATTTGCTGGACGATAGCATGCTTCCTTCCCCCTCCTCATTTTGCACAAAGTGAGCAAAGTCATGGTGACTATTTGAGATGATGCAGGACCTTGTTGTGCTGGGCAGAATGGTAGAGGCTGAGGTGGGTTTTTCCCATCTCTGGATTCAGGGCAGTGAGTGTCCTCTTGAATGAGGCTCTGCACTCTGATGTCACAAGTAGAAAAGCTGCGGAGGATTGTGGGCAAAGAGTAAGTGCCTTCCTGTCCAGGAGGAAAGGCAGGCTTCTTCTTGGTTAACTTGTCCCCAGTGTTGCAGTATATTGACACCAAAAGTATTTTGATAACAGCAGAGATTGGCCAGTCAGCCTTCAACACTCACATTCACCTCAGCATTGGGTTACCTTCGAGTTGCCATCTTTGGAATGCCAGTGCTCAGCAGCATAGAGTTGGATTCAGTAGGATTTGTGGGACAAGAAGGCCTTTCCTGGAGTTTTTCCAAGTCCAGACAGCTGCTTTGGGGATAAAGTATTAAAATATTATGAAATAAATAAAGCAAATTGATTTAATAAGCATTTGTTTGTCTTTTTGTGAGCAGAATTGCCTCTGAAAGTGAAATGATTGTATTTGTCTTGTGGGGCTCTTTTCCCTTTCTTTTGCCCAGAAGAAACTAGCTCTCAGGAACTGCGACACCCACCTGGCAGCCAAAAACCATCCCCCGTGGTGAGTGAGCTACTCCTCTGTGCTGATGTCTCAGGGTGCTCTGGAGCCAAGGTAGTAGTGACTTGGGTGATGTAGGTAATTTGGGCCCCTCTTCTTGACCTGCCCCAGTGAGTTTTGCCTCCCATGTCATGGCAAGGCAGGTAAAGATTTCCCCAGTCAGTAGGAAGACTTTTGTTCCATCTTTGTTTTTATCTGTAACTGCATATTGCTGAGGTAGACACGGTGTGGCCTTGGTTGTAGGGTCAACAGGGGATCATGGACGCTGGTGTCCCACTGTATCTGGCAGCCACATAACGCTCAAGGATGAGGCAGAGTAAGCCAACTTTGATTTCAGGCTACTGAGGTTCTTTGCTGCTCTCTGGCCCTATCAGGAGGCTTCTCCAGATACACTGTTCTGCCTCTGTCCTATGTCTCCAGTTTTGGAGAAAAAGGAGATGGTTAGCAAGCTTGGAGCAAGAGTTATTCTTGAGTTTCTGTCATCTGCTAGCCCTATTAACATCAACGTGAATCTCCCTGAAGATTTACTGATATGTGGTTTGGTTTTTTTTCTCAGGTTGGGATAGGGTTAAAAGCCTTTCAGTGGAGAGCTTATTGTGATGGAAGGAATGGGAAGGAGCGAGGGGGGCATTTTGTTCTGTGGCTCATGATAGAAAACTGAGATCCCTTACCAATAGAGAAAGAGGCCTGTCTTTGAAGTGAACATACCACGGTGTTTGTTCTCTTTGAAGAAGTTGCATGCAGCTCTTTTGGAAATGTCATTTCAGATGTGAGCACTTTTATGAGAAAGGAAATGAGAAAGGTTTTTGAGAGACTGGAGTGGGGCAGGGGATTAGAGAGGTTTCTTGCCCAGGTAGTTGCAGAGCTGAAAAGAGAGGTACGTTTGTCTTCTCTCAGGTCAGCCTTGGTGGAGTGAGTCATCCAGCTGTGCCCAAGGTCACCGAGCACCTGCTGTCCCAGCCAGAACCAGTAATGCCCAACACAGCCCTGCTAGTGAAGAACCCACTGGCAGCTACTCACGTCTTCAAGCAAGCCTGTCATATCTGCTACCCCAAAACAGGTGATGCATTTGCTCTGCCACCAGAGCGCTGGCCCAGTCTAGGATTTGGCTTTCCCTGGGCTGATGGGGTTATTCTCTCTGCAGGGCCCAAGGCTGGTGATTACACCTATCGGGAAGGCTTGGAGCACAAGTGCAAGCGGGACATCCTGCTGGGCAGGCTGAAGAACTCAGAAGATAAGACCTGGAAGAGGATCCGTCCTCGCCCAACAAAAACCAACTTTGTAGGATCCTATTACCTGTGCAAAGGTGATCTGGGGCAGTTGGCGGCCAGGAAGGGGCTGTTCACTGTATGCTATGGGAGGCTGGGAGGGAAATTATAGTTGATATCTACAGCTATTGCCTGCTGGCTCTGGGGTCTCCTGTCCCATCAGTAGCCTGTGGACCGGATGGCTAGGCGCAGTGAAGGGCAATGAGCTGCCATGCTGTGGAGAGCAGGCAGCTTCTAAAGTGGTGGAGCAGAAGAGTTCCAAAGGCGCAGTGAGGTGCAATGCATAGCCAAGCACTCAGAGCTGCCCTGTTGACATGGGCTTTACTGCAAACCTGCCTCCTGTACAAGTGCTCACATTAGTCCCACTCCACTCAGCTGCCCCAGGGCAGGCCTGTGGTTCTGCCTAGGGAAAAGCACTCTCTACCTGCTCCCTTGCTCCAGCCGTCCCACGGTCCACGCAGGCAGTGTGACCAGACTGGTCCCTGAGGCAGTGCCATTACAAACTACCGAATGAGATGGGAAGACTGCAAGAGCCAAGCTAACAGGGCTCCTTAGTGCTGGGCCTATGGGAGAACTTAATATGGATTAGTGTTAGAAAGGGTTACTTAAATCATGATCTGTCCCTTGCCAGGGACTGAATTAAAGCTGGCCTCTGTTTTGAGGTGGTTTCCCCAACAGCAACATTACTTGAGATTGTCACCATTCATTAGTTTGCATTAGCTTTCCTGAATGTCTTGATATAGACAAGCTTGGGGGGAGATGTCTTTTCTTTTTTCTTCAACTCTCTGTTTTCTTGCTTTCAGTTCCTTGAGAGGCATGGGCAGCGGGAGGAGATGAGAGAGAGTTTAGTTTCTGACTGGGCCGCCCTGCTTGTGTGGTGGTGTGTGCTGTTTGTTGCTTTGTAGATATGCTTAACAAGCAGGACTGTAAGTACGGGGATAACTGCACCTTCGCGTACCACCAGGAAGAGATCGACGTGTGGACGGAGGAGAGGAAGGGGACCCTCAACCGTGACCTCCTCTTTGACCCGCTAGGTGGGATCAAGCAGAGCAGCCTCACGATTGCCAAGCTCCTCAAGGAACATCAGGGCATCTTCACCTTCCTCTGTGAGGTACAGAGCTGGTGGGAGGGGGCAAGCATCCTTCATTGATATGTTGATAGTTGCCACTACAGAAACATGGTGGGATGACTTGCACAACTGGAGTGCTGCAATGGATGGCTATAAACTCCTCAGGAGGGATGGGCAAGGCAGGAAAAGCAGTGGGGTTGCCCTGCATGTTTGGGAGTGTTTTGACTGTCTAGAGCTTAACGATGGCAGCAATAAGGTTGAGTGTTTATGGGTAGGAATCTGGGGGAAGGCCAACAAGGCTGATATCGTGGTGGGATTCTGTTACAGACCACCCACCCAGGCTGAAGAGGCAGAGAAATTATTCTGTAAGCAGATGGGAGAAGTCTCACAATCTCTGGCCCTTGTTCTTGTGGGGGACTTCAGCTGAAAATACAACACAGCAGAGATGAAACAGTCTAGGAGGTTCCTGGAGTGTGTGGAAGATAACTTTCTGACACAGCTGGTGAGGGAGACGACTAGGGAAAGCACCCTCTGGACCTGTTGTCTGTGAACAGAGAAGCACTGGTGGGTGATGTGATGGTTGGAGGCCATCCTGGGCACAGCAATCACAAAATGATAGTTTTCAGTTCTTGGAGAAGTAAAGAGGGGGGTCAGCAGAAATGCTACCTTGGACTTCCCAAGGGTAGACTTAGGCCTGTTCAGGATTCTGGTTGACGGAGTCCCTTAGCTGGCAGTCCTGAAGGGCAAAGGAGTCCAGGAAGGCTGGGCATTCTTCAAGAAGGAGATCTTAAAGGTGCAGGAGCGGGCCGTCTATGACTATGTCCCAGCCAGTGCCCTGCTCCCAGGAGGGCAGTTACTGTGTAGGAGATAGGAGAAGTAGATTTCTTCCTTAGCCCTGCATCTGAACCAAGTGTTCACAGCCTCATAAGATCACCTGTCTCTTCCTCTGTCTTGAGATGTTGCTTTGAATTGTAATTTAGCTGCAGTTACTTTAGAAATCAGAACTCCGTAATGCAACAAATTCCCACTTGACATCTGTGCAGAGCCACAGAATTGATCAGTTGAGGATTGTCTCATATGATCTTGATGCTCTGCAGCACAGAGTTCCCCACGCTGGCAGTACATGTAAAGGGACATGTTCTTTGCTGTGAAGTGTCTGTTCTTTTACTTCTCCCCATCATTTCCCCCTTGTTCTTGCTCTGTTGGCTAACAGGGAAAGAATATGTGGCTCTGACCAAAAGTTTTCCAACCACAATGGAAAATACTGTTGAGAATAAGCCAAAATATGTTGTCCAGAAGCTTTTCCAGAAATTCACTTGCTTTATTTTAAAGCCCTACCACAAAGTTTTCACCAGACTTCTTTCTGACTTCGAACATTAGAATAGGCTGACTCTGGTTCTTCTTCCTCTTCCAAGTGAAGTGGCTCTGGTTCACTGCTCTCTAAGATTTTCCCAGCATGCTAATTCTTCTCTTATCAGATTTGCTTTGACAGCAAACCCCGGATTATCAGCAAAGGGACCAAGGACACACCATCTGTCTGCTCCAACCTTTCTGCCAAGCACAGTTTCCATGACAACAAGTGAGTAAACAGGTTTTTGTGCTGATGGGAACAATTTCTCACAAGTCCAGCCAGTTTAACTCCAGGGCCCTGGTCTCCTTCTTTCTTTTCTCCCCATGGGTTCCAGTCATAAGGCGGCTCAAAGCATGATAAATAGCACTGTGGGCTTCACCCTGTGCGTTTGCTGCTGGTGCTGAAGGATTTCAGGCATCAGCAAAGCCCTTTGGTGTCAGTGTACTAAGTTTTCCATTGACTTAATTTGCCTTTCAGTTTGGCCTTTACATAAAGGTCAAAACAAAGATCCTGGAGCTCAAGATCCTGCTTGTGACTGGCTGGTAATGAATGTTTAGGAAAACAAGTATAACAAACATGTCAAGTACATAGTTATACAATTCCTTCTGGTCCCTGGCAACCTGAGATTTTGGGACTTGCTGAGCCTGGAGAGTTGGTATCTTTGTTGCATATTTTGAAATGTGTCTGATCTCTGAACTAAAGCAGAGCATCACCCATGTGCTGAGGAGATTTAAAGTACCTATCCAGGCTTGATAGGGTGGGAGGGCAGGGGCTTGCTTTTTCCAGAGGGAATCTGTCTCTCCCAGAGTTGATTTTCTGCCTGCCCAGTCAAATGTCTGGATGTCACATGGAAGGAGGAGGTGGGGAGGGTTTGATCCTCTGGTGCTTCATGTTTCCCTGGCCTGGCTGCAGGTGTCTGGTCCACATTGTGCGTTCCACCTCCCTGAAATATTCCAAAATCCGTCAGTTCCAAGAGCACTTCCAGTTTGATGTGTGCCGACATGAGGTGCGTTATGGCTGCCTTCGTGAGGACAGCTGCCATTTTGCTCACAGTTTCATTGAGCTCAAGGTCTGGCTGCTGCAGCAATATTCAGGTGAGTGGGACTTGGCTGGTGGTGTGTTTCTTCCAGTGTGTACCCACGGCCAGTTGAGAGGGGAAGAGGGTTATTTGGGAGTACTGAAAGTTGTCATTTGCCTGTGCATATACTTACTCTGCCTCCTCAGGGACACAGAAAAGAGGACCAAGTTGTTCTATGAGGTGATTTGGCCCTTGTCCCTTTACATGTGCTATTATAATTTGTAGACCGGGGAGCCTATCCCTTGGGACCAGCTGAATGAATTAAAATTATTATTAGGTAGAGCTGAATCCTAAACGGTGTTTTGGTGCTTAAATCTTGTGCAAATAGCAGTTGGACCCCTGAGCAACTGTCTGCTGCAGTGAGAATGGCAGTATGCACAGATGACAAAGCAGTTAGTTATATAAAGGAAGGCTGTGCATCTCCAGTTTCTCAAAACAAATTCATCAACAGTGGGAAATTACAAGATACTTGGTGTTTCCCAAAAAGCCTTTGATGAGATGCCTCTGAAGGGACTTTTGCAAACATTATATTCAGGGCACTCATGTAATGATACTGCCACATCTAGCACTTTCAGTCCTTTCTCTCTGTCTCTGACTGACATGTTGGAGGGTTTCTCTGGCTGCTCTCCTGTTGACTGTGTAGATACTGGTCCACCCACAGTGCTACCTACATCTTTTTTCATCAGAGGCTCTTGTTTAGTGCAACACCCAGCCAGATAATGGGAGTACTTCAGAGAGGAAGCATGTTATGGATGTTTCTCACCATTCTTTGATGTCATAACTGATGTTCAGTTCAGTCCTTGGCCTTGACTTCAGCTCATGAGTGACAGTGATGTGACATGAACAAGTGTGGCTCTATGCCAAATGCCATCTTTTATTCTTGTCGTTTGACCTCATTCACATGTGACCTCAAAAATTAAAAAATTATAACTCCAGCGTTTCTAAGATAGCACATTGCCTGTGTGCTGTAGGCCACCACTGCTGCCCTATATGCTTATGATACTGCTTGTAGTACGCTGGGCATTCTAATATTCAAGCACCTTGCTCTTTTCCCCACCCCATACTTGGTTTGTTTTTGCTATTTTGTTTGGGGTTTTTTTTAGAAGAGTTTCTTTACTCCCTTCTTCCCTCCATCTTCCTTCCTCTTCAGCCTGTAGAAGAAATAGTTAGACTGATATATTTTCTTCTTACCTTCATTACTTGAAGAAGTGATTTCAAAGGGGAAGCTGAGGAGATGAAATAAGCCATGAGTTAAGAGCTGCAGAGGTGATCAGTAAGCCCTATGCTTATTTCCGTCTTTTCCAACAATGCAAGAGCCATTATCTTGTGAGTTTTTTTCTGCAGGGCTGTATATATGACCCTGCTCTCCTTGTGAGTTTGCCTTCCTGGAGTGGTAGTTTATTACCTCTCCTAAGTGTAGCCTTCATTATGGAAACAGAGATGAAAGATAGTTGTTGCCATTCTCTGAGAATGCTTTAGCTTTGGAGCAGAGAGTTTCAGTTGAGGGCTATTTGCTTGGCAAGAATAGGAAGAGGGCATAATTCATAACAGCTAGCATTTGAAACATTTCACAGCCATCTGAGCTTTTACAGAGCTTTTGGCTTTGTTCATGGGGATAAAGGATCATATTAGTGGAGTAAAGGTTCCCAAGATCTGAAAATTGGATAGACAGGACTGTTTTGTTGTTCACTGTGGCTTTTCACAGACATATCTTGCTATCTTCTTCCATCAGTGGAAATCACAGTCTTTGTCCTCACTAATGATGTTGCAAAAGATACTGAAATATTATAAGTAATCAACACATGGGCCTTTTGGTTTCCAGATCCTTTCTTTGTGACAGTTCATGCTTTGGAGAGCTGGTAGATTGGCAAACATCCTTTCACATTTGGGAGGAGGTTTTTTTTTCCCAGCCACCACATTTCTAGACTGTATTATTGAGTTAGTTCAGATTTCTGGGACTGAAAGAAGGCAGTCACTTGCTAAGAACTTCATTTGAAATTCAGTCTTCTGACAAGACCTGTGTATACTTCTCCCATTGGTTCTGCACCCCAAGGACCACAGTGCAGCTGTGCAGAATGGAGAAGGTGGGAGGTGCTTTGGCCCTTTCCCTGCCAGGTCTAGTGCAGCATGTTAACTTTTTTCCTGTAGTTTTCCCAGTTTTATAGGTTTTGTTCCCAAAGTGCAGATCAGCATTGTGTCCAACCCTGGAATATTTGGACACGAAAGAAGAAGTTGCAGTTTTTCTAACTCTACACTATTTCTTCTGGAATTAATGTTTGAAAAGGAGAAAATTTACCAGCAGCTCTGATCTGTGAGCGGTACCAGCTATGCAGCAGTTACCATTTTAAGGGCCTGAGCAAATGTTCTTGAATAGTAGTAAAGTTCCCTGAATGCTTTTCATCCTGTTCAAGCCCTGTGCAAATGGCAGTATTGTTGCCTGGCAGGGACCTGAACAGCCAGAATCACAGATGAGGAAACTGAGATCAGGAATGATGCAACTTATCCAAGTTACATACAGCCTAAGCTGAGATGAAAACTTATGTTTGGTGGCCCTTAAGTACTGGAACATGCTGGCTCCCAGATCAAAGATCATGACCATGTAGCACACCTGGGGAACACCTCACTTCAGTATTAAAAGCTGTAGGCATAAGCAAAGTGATCTGTTTTGCAACCTCTGTGTCCTGGTGGTGCTGCATCAAGGCCATCCTCAGCACCCTGCTTGTTGCAGTCAGCTGGCTGTTGCAAGATATTTGCTTCAGTTTGTTTTGGCAGCTATCTTGGGCCTTTATAGCACTTAAATAACATGGGCTTTTTTGTAACAGTCTTCACACTGACCAAACAGTTCCTACCCTCACACAATTTTTTCTTGCTGTTTAGTGCTTAGAGAGTCATAGGGCCCATCTGGCTGGTTGGTGCTAACAGAGGCTGTTCCCTCACCACTTGAGCTGGTCAGGAGTTAATTCCTTACATAAGGTCTGACTAACTCTTTTTGTTGTCTAATGTTGCATTTCTGATACCTGAAACCTTGCAGCTCTTTCCTTGCTGGTTACATACTAGCAGCTGTTCCTTGGTTGGTTTTGCACTGTTGGTCTTTCCTTGCTGCCTTGGTTGTGCTTGATGTTCGTATATGTTGAATTTCAACTTTCTGCTTTGCCCACTAATTGATGGGCAGCCCCCTCAACTTGAAGGTGTAACAGGCTAATTAATCCCAACCTGGAATAGGTGAGACTTCTGGGATCTTGTAGGTGCTAGATGCCTCACTGGGATATCTGTGATCTTCCAACCTAGTGGCAAAAACTCCATTATACAGTAGATCAACAGTAACAAAGCATTGTCTTCAGGAGCCTCTGTAGAATCTGTTGATATGGCGTTCAGGGACAGCCTTTGTCAAGCTTTTGACCCCTAGTGAAAAATTATTGTCCCAGCTGCAGACAGCCTGAGCAGAAACGAGCCCAAGAGACCCAACTCTTCTCCTTTTGTTTGGCTTGTGTAGAGAGAGGATCTTCCTTAGCCTGGGATTAAACATGTTCCATGATGGATCCCCTCACAACTCATGTCCTGACACTACAGGGAGACTGTGAGAAGCTGTCAGCCCCTCAGGGATTACTAAACTCAAATGTAAGAAGTGTTGCAGCCCCTCTCTTGTGTTGGTCAAAGCAGGGTAATTCAATTCTGTCTCCTTTGTGTTCCCAGGAATGACCCATGAAGATATCGTGCAGGAATCTAAAAAGTACTGGCAGCAGATGGAGGCACATGCCAGCAAACCAGCCAACAGCATGGTAAGTGAAGTGTATCTAGGGCTTGCAGCCTGGTTTTGCTCCCAGCAGTTCCAGCCCTTTCTCTCTTTCCCTCTCACTACTGTGCCTGATAGGTCCCAGGCTTGCCATTGAGGAGGAGGACAGCTGAGAGCTTTCCCGGTTGCTGTGCTGGTGTTGGGCTTTGTGCCTTGTTTTGCAGCATTGTTATCTGCTCTGTTCCACGGTGGGGTGAATCCTCCAGGACATGGAGGGCAACACACAGAGAATGGTGCTTCCTGTGACACCTTGCTAGTGAAATTGGGAGATTTTAGGACTGTGGCCACACAGAGTGGGGACCAAAGGTGTCCTGCTGCCCTTTAGTGGCCAAGGGACGATAGAGCAGTTTGAAGGACTCTAAGAAATGACTCGACCCACAGGACTGATATAAATACAGGAGTAGGTGGAACTTCCAGTCTGTTGAGATGCTGTTGAGGCTGCGCAGAGATCTTAATGGTGCTTTACCAGGAGGAGGCTGTGAGCTTTACCTTTGTGTCACCAGTCTCTCAGTGTGGGAGAGGGTGCCTCTGGCTGCACCCTCCATCACTGCCAAGAACTTTCCCTGGAGAGGTGTGTTATAAGCAAAAGGCACTTTTTTGTTTACTTTCTTACAACCTGTTGGTTATGGGCACTGTTGCCTTACCCTTTTTTTCCCCAAAGGGGAGCTCTGCAGTGTAGGACCAGAGCCCACCCAGTGAGAACAATTCCCAGCCCTGAGGTTGAACTAAAGCAGTTTTTGTCATTAAAACAAGGAGTTTTTTATTCTTTAATTACTTTCATAAAATATGTCTGACAAGATGAGAAACTTCATGCCTCCTAGCAAGCGCTCAGGCATAGGAGCAATTCTTTCCCCTGCACAATAGCGGGGAAAGTGCTGTGAATCCTCTTTGTTCCCATTTGACTGCCTTCTTTCCCCCTGTGAAGGCCTGAGCTCACCACCCCTTGGTCTATGCCTTATTGTCAAAACAAGGGTGTTTCACCTTCATCTGGGACCTATCACCCAGGAGTCCCTCTGCAGAGACCAGCACTGAATGCAGTCTGTAAGCATCCTGAGGAAGAGGTGTTTTATAGGAGAGGGATCTGAGTCACTCATGTGGTGTGTAGGAGCTGTTTTTTGTCTAGGTTGTGGACCAACAGAAGTGTTCTAAAGGCTGTAGGGCACTGATGCTGGGGAAAAGCAGGTCTGATGGGCATGGCTTAGTCCAACAGGAAAGATGCACTGCACTGATGCTTGCAGTGGGCTCTGTGTCCACGTATGTACTGGTTGTGCTGCATGAGATGGAATCATCTTTGCGGGGATGCTCAGCAACAAACCTGTGCAGCTGTTGTGGTCTGAAATGGTGGGGGAGTGGAATGGGAAGCAGCAGTCCAGAATAACCAAGGTCTCTAGTTCCCAGAAGTGTCTGACTTGCTTAAGAAATATGTTCTAGCTTCTCAGGAAGCTGAGAAGGATAAGTTTCTACATCCTGTATTATATGAGAAGTGAGCCTGGATGATCTGAATGGTTCCTGGAGACAGAGCTGGCTGTGATTTCTTTCTGTGTGGTATGGGGACAGAGGGAGGGGCCTGCATCTCCGCAAGGAAGGAAACTAAGTGTGAATTTGCAGCAGTTTGTGACAGCAGTTGGATTTGTATCAGCAATGCCTGCCCCAAGAGCGCAGTCTAGAGACCAGTTCTCTTCTGCCTGCTGTGGATCTACCTGCATTTTCCAGAAAGCTCTCTCTGGCCATTCTCTGAGCATAATGAGGGGATAAAAAAAATACATGGACAGCTTTTTTTCCTGTAAGCCTTGCAGCTTCAATTCACCTTTGTCTGGAGGTGCTGCTGTTGGAAGAACAAGCTGAACAGCAGGCATGGTCAGAGCATGTCCTCTGAAGCACATGGGATCTGGATACTGAGTGAGGGTTCCATTTCTGGCTGCTGGGGCTTGCATGGGGCAGAGGATCAGGAAACAAAATGCCAGAGCCTGCTACATCAGAGGATGGGCAGAGCTACACTTTCTGGGCCCTGTGAGCAGTGTTAGGGCTGATGGCCGGTGGCAAAGTCTGGTTGTACCCCAAAAATGCCTGTCACAGAGCTGGACTGCACCCTCCACCCTTCCAGGGTGTGAAGGCGAAACAGCAGACATGTTGGTACGGTCAGAAAATGCCTACCAGCGGCAGCACCAGCTGTCTGTGAGGATTGGCAGCCTGGCACTGGCACTGGTCAGGGAGACAGAGTCAAGTTGGTCAGATGCATGTGTTTGCAAATAGCAAACCATGGCTTTGGCATGAGCACGTCCTCAGCCAGAGGGCTGTGCTTTGGGATGAGACCCTGGCTTGCTGCCAAAGACCCTGCGGGCAGGGCTAACTATCTGTTGAGAGATGTTTACTTTTGTCATTGTTTTCTCCTGTCCAAGCAGGCTAACGTGACTCAGAGTTTTCTCAGCATCCTTCCAGCTTTCAAAGTTGGCTGCCTGGCAAAGACAACTTCCCAGGAGTGCTGTAAAAACAGACTCCTCCTTCCCACCATCCTGTGTGATCCACTCTCACCCTGGTGCCCTCTGGTCAGCGGAAGCAAGGTCACTCTGGGGGATTTTGCTGCAGTTTTGTCACAGCTGCCAGTTGGACTCAGTTAGCAGCTGGGGCTGTCCAGTTGTGGAGAAAAGAGGCGGGCAGCAGGCAGGAGCCCAGTAGCTGTGAGCAGGTCAGGAGGCTTAGCAAGAAGTGGAAGATGAAGATACACTGCTTGCTAAGCACCTGCCAGGACTCTTGCACTTGGCCCCACAAATTTGGTCCCATAGAAGCTGCTGTAGGAGTAACCCAGTGGCTGCAGATTGAAGAGGCAATCAGCAGGAGGGACTGTTGTAGGTAGCTGGGTGTCTCCCATAGCATTCCTGTGAATTGAGGGGTTGTAGCCGTGATTTTTTCTGGTTTTCAAGGGCTAATTTGTTTTTACTCCCCTAGCCGGCTGCAGAACCCCATGAAAGCTGACCTCAGAGTTATTAATCTAAGCATGGAGAGGAAAGAAAAGTATCTAATAAGGGTACTTGCCCCCAAGTGCAGCTCACTCGGTTGTGTGGCTGAGTAACATGGGCTCCTCATATAGTCCCCTGAGGCATGTGGCTCCTCCAGACTGAGAGGGGTTCCTGAAGTTGGGAGACACAAGTGGCCATGCTGGGGCTGTTGCTTTCTGCAGAGCCTGAAGTGGAGAGCGTGCCAAAGACTTTTATTTATTTGGTTGTCATGGTGTATAGCTAACACTATATTGGCTTCATAGCAAGGGGTGGTGCCATAGCCCATGGCACTTTTGCCTGGCTTTGTCTGCTAAAGCCTCATGTGATACAATTTCCACACTGTTGGTTATCAGCAGCCTGCCAGGTATGTGTCTTGCCTTTACAAATACAGTCATGTAGAATTAACAGCAGCAGCTTTGATTTTTCGCTTGGCTCCTAATATCCTGGGAGCATACATGCCCACTGGATTGATCAGCAGTTTGCATGACTCAGATGAAGAAATTCATGAGGCTTCTTTTGGTTAAGAATTTGTGGAAAAAGCAGCCTAGATTACCAGAACTACCTGAGAGACATTCTTTTTCTCTCTGATCTGTTTTCCCTTCTGGAGCCACTCAGTTTTTATTTTTGCTGGGTCAGTAGGTTTGAGCAAAGCTTTCTGGCTGTGCTGAGAGATCTGTCACCAGGAGGAGAGCACGGGAGTGATAAAAGAGAATATGCCAGCAGTGCCATTTTGTTACCTTAGGCATGTAGGTTTGATGGGTCAGTAGTCAGCTGTAGTGTCATTTCCTTTGGAGACCAAGAGGAGATTAAAACTACTGTTTGAAGGCTGCACATCTCAGAGGAGGCACCTTATTGCCTTCCATGATAGCCCAGGTCTCAACTCTGCTCATCCCACAGCCAGCCACTTTGATGTGTTCTTGGTGGTCACCAGCACAGATGGAAGCTGACAGATCACCAGCATAGGTGAATGAGTTATGTGCTGGGAGCCACCAAAAAGGCTGTCTTACAGAGGAGTAGAGAATCACTGCTGCTTTTCAAGAGAGATGCTGATTCCCTGGTAGGGTCCTTTTGCTGGGACATCAGAGCACTGATGACCTCTTGTAGTCAGCACAGACAAAGATCAGCTCTCTGGTCAGCTTTTCACAGTGACAGAAGACCTTTTATATGTCAGCTCTGCTTCTGCAAAAGACTAGGTCTGGAGGATGCATCAATAACTGATGTGCCGTTTCCTCGGAGATGCTTTGATTCTGCGTTGCCTGTGCTTGCTGTTCTCCCTTTGTCAAAGGATGCATACAGGGTCCATGCTATTGCTAATCATTTGCTGGCAGAAGCCTGCTCTTCAGGGACACAACTTGCAATGTCTGCTCATTGTGAGATGCTCAGGGTTAGAAGTTGAGGCGTGGCAGGTGGGACGGGCTGCTGATGCAGTTTGCAGTCAGAGAACTGTTTTACTGGTGCATGACCTTTGTGCTTCATGGCTGGCTCAATGACCAGGGTGTTCTTTTGTACTCTCACATACTCCCAGGCCCAGGGCCACTGGCATGCAGTCAGGTTTGCTCTTTGTTTTGGAAGTGAACGGGAGACATCAGCCTCATGTCTTCCAGGGGTGATACAGAATGCAAACAGCTTTCCAGAGGTTTGCTCAGAAAACATGAGACAGCAGTGATACGGGACTGGCTCCTGGTTTGTTTTTTTTTCTCCACAATCTGTTAGTCATAATCCCAAACCAGCCTTCTCATGGTGGGGTCGATAAGTGCAGTGGCTGAGAAGGTGTGAAATACATGCATTGTACCTCTGTCCAGAGGCTGTGATTAACTGCTTGTGAAACCCAGTGCAGAGAAACCGTGAGAGATGGAAACCTGCCCAGAAATGGCTTGGAAGGATATCAACTAGAGGACCCAGCTCTGACTTCATGGTGTCAAATGGTAGATATCGCATGAGCCTCTTGGTCCAAAAGCAGGAGTGGTGGATTCTGCACTGTGGCATGGTCTGGCTTCCTCCTGAGGGGGCTCTCTCAGCTGTGTGACCAAGCTCTCTCCACAAGCAGTGATCAGGACATGGATTGCCCTCCCTACAGGGAAGTGGGGATAAGTGCTGGGGCAGGTCTCACAGAGCTTGTCTGTACATGGAGATAGGCTGCAGGGGTTTCACAGCCAGGCCTGGTCAGTGCTGGAAGCTGTCAGGATGTCTGTGTTTTCAGCCAGATGTCAAAGCCCAGGAAATCATGCTGAAGCAAGCAGTGGTTTTGCTCCTATCTGGAATCTCAGTGGGCCACCAGCTAACACTGGCAAAGAAGAGCTGGGCTGTCTCTGATTTAATCTGGCCTGTCGCTGGCACACGGGCGTGCGGGGAGCTGCCAGCATGACTGTGGCAGGTTTGGGGAGTGCATTTTGGCTCTGTGTGCCTGAGACTGTGGTTCTTTTCCTCAGGCTTCTCCCCGGACTCCCACATCAAGCACCTTTGACCTCCAGATGAAATTTGTGTGTGGCCAGTGCTGGAGGAATGGGCAGCTGGTGGAGCCAGATAAAGACCTCAAGTACTGTAGTGCCAAAGCCCGCCACTGGTGAGCAATGCAACTTTCTCTTTCCCTCACCCCTCTTCAAGCATTCTGCTTGATTTTGAATTAGTTTCCTTGGCTTTTTCATTGCTTTGGTTGCTCTTCTGTGATGCATGTCATGTCTGTTTGCACCTCTCAGCTCCTTGGGGCCCATAAGAATGTTTGGTGTGATAGAATTGTTGAATCACAGAACAGTTTGGATTGAGAGGAACCTTTAAAGGTCATCTAGTCCAGTCTTCTGGCAATGAACAGGGGCATCTTCAACTAGATCAGGTTGCTCAGAGCCTTGTCCAGCCTGACCTTGAAAGTTTACAGGGATGGGGCATCCACCACCTCTCTGAGTTGTGCCAGTGTTTCAACACCCTCATCATAAAAAGTTCCTTCTTTATATCTTGTCTGAATCTACCATCTTTCAGTTTCAAGCCATTACCCCTTGTCTTATCACTACAGGCCCTACTAAAAAATTTATTCCCATCTTTCTTATAAGCCCTCTACAAGAGGAATATTGTCTGGGAAGTAACTGTTGAGTCATGAAAACTGTGGCCTGTCTCACCCAGGCAGTCTGGTGGGTTGGGATGGAAGGGTTTATAGGACTTCTCTTCCCATAACACAAGCCACAGAGGCACAGTCCAGCATACTATTGCAAATGTAAGACTTTTGTTGAAGAAGAGACAGAAGCAGCAGTTTCTGGAGGAAGTGAGGAGGTGAGGATTGCTTCCTGGAATGGGAAAAATAACACCTCTTTGTGCAGCTGCTGAATAGAGCTGGGGCTTTTGCCCAGAGTATCTCCCGGTAATCACTTGCTGGAGCTGCAGGAGAATTCATACTTCCTGGCACCTGTTCATAAGGCAGTGCTTGTAACAACTTGCATTTCTATTGCACCTTTCAAGCAGAAAATATTCCCAAGTGTTTTTCATTGAACTGATTGCACAAGAATTGGCTGTGTCAAAGGGTTAGTAATCCATGGTGATGTCATGTGAGATTTGGGGGAGATTTTTGTGGCTTTATGAGAAGAAATACCCTAGGACATAGGCAATACGTACAGGGAGAAGTCCTCCTAAAACACCCTTCTCGTAGCTTCTCGATCACAGATGTGCATGTCTAGGAGCAACCAGATAGTGCAGGGACAAGCTGGACAGCAGGATCTGGTCAGCTGTCAATATTTAAGGGTCTCTGAGGTAAAGAACCCATGTTCTTCTCTTCCTTATGCCTCTCTTGATTTATTCTCTCTTCTTCAGCTGGACAAAGGAACGCCGTGTCCTGCTGGTGATGTCCAAAGCAAAGAAGAAGTGGGTGTCAGTCCGACCACTGCCTCCCACCCGCAACTTCCCACAGCAATATGATGTAAGCCCCATGACAGATGTCCCTTCCCCTTCCCTTCCACCATGGTACAGCTTTGAGGGCTGGTCTCTTGCAGGCCTGGCAGGGAGGCAGGCACGTGATGGCTGAGATGGGAGGTAAGGACAGACTGATGGCAACAAAACACATCCAGCAAAAAGGTGGAGCAGAAGAAGGAGCAACACCCATTTAAACCACTCCATGCACATATATGAGTTTTTGAAGTTTCTGTTAATGCATAACAAGAACTGTTAGTGCATGTCTGGCTGGCACAGGGTTTGGGAATGAAATGTAAGTGTCCCCTTAGGTCAGGGTTTCTTAATGTGGGTGAGAGGAGAGACATTTAGGAGAAGCCAGTTCCTGCCTTTGCTGTGGCTAGGCTGCTGTAGATTGTGAAACTTGCTTACAATGGGTTTTGAAAGTAAAACTATAAGAAGAGCTAAAAAAGCCACGTGCTGTGAAGGAAGTTACAGATATCCAACCTCCAACCCCAGCCCCAAATGTGATGATAGATAGCTTCTCTCTTCCTTTCCTTTCATTTTTTCTGAAAGGAGAAGCTCCTTCCCCCTACCCTATGATATGTCCTCCTGTGGTGCCAGGACTGGGGGAAAAGGGATGATCAGTCAATATGATGCTTGGAAAGCTTCTCCTTTTCTCTGGCACTGATGCTGTTGGTAGCTGTGAAATAAAGTTGTGTGCACACTAGTGTGGTCTAAGCAACCTGTAAGGCCACTCTTCACCCACTCGGAGATGGCTGGAGAATGAGTCATCTTTGGGGACCAGCAGCTTGACCAGCAGGAGATGCTATGGGGTCAGCCCAGGTTGCTCCCTGCTCTCTTGACCTGTACCCGCACCTGGTCACCTGTGGAAATGGAACAGGTGCTGAACTGAGCTGCCTGCATGTTTATGTCATCTGAAGATTGAGGAAAAGAAGCATGAGTTAATGATGTATGAAGTGTCCTGTTTGCAACCTCTCCTGTGTGCAATTTAATGCCCCAGCTGATTATTGAACCCACTTTCCCCTCTACCAAGGAGTATTTGTGCTAATGCTAAATTTTTCTCTCTGTCTTTTAACAGTTGTGTATCCATGCACAGAATGGCAGGAAATGCCAGTATGTGGGCAACTGCTCCTTTGCCCACAGCCCTGAGGAGAGAGACATGTGGACCTTCATGAAAGAAAATAAAAGTGAGTGGGGAAATGTGGGCCAGAGAGTCTGGAGAGAGGGAAGAGGGCATTTGGGGAGTGGATGCAGGGTTTTCTAAGACATACCCTTGACAACAGAAACGGAACTGGACAGGGCTGCTCCCGTGAGCTTAGGTGGGATTAAGGGACAGGTCTGTCTACAGTAATTTAGAGCTGCTCTTTTTGTAAATGTGCATGTATATCTTGAGTCCCTTGCTCTGAGACTTGTGCACATTGGTCCCATGACTTGCTTTGCTCCATTGCTGCCCTCTTTTTCTGCAGCACTTTTGAATCCACCCTGTGCTGTCCCTCCAGTTACCTGTAAAGTCCCAGGCCTGGCTCCGTATGGAGCTCTGCCAAAGCACCAGTCCTGGCCTGTAGCTGCTCCTGTATCTCTCGTCTGTCTTCTGTCTGCCTTGGCTTTCTTGCCTATTTCTCTTCGTATCCCTTGCTCCCGGGCTGTGGCACTCCCTACTCATGGCATTGTACTCAAAGGGGTGGAGTTGACATCCTGAATGAGAACATCATTGGGTGGTGACTTTTTTGGAGGAGTTTGTCTCTATTTAATTATGCAGGTTCCCAGCTTACTGTCTGGGGGATAGCTGGGGGGTTGCCCATGTCCTGGATGGCCAGCTATGGCAGCAATCCTTGTTTATTCAGACCAACAGCAAACTGGGGGAAAAGGACCAGTTGTCCAGGTGCTCACCTGCCACTGTGGGAGATGCAGGAAAGCCTAAAGGATTTCAAGCCTGCCCTGAGTTTGTTTGGTCTTTATGATTCTATGGAGGGTCTTTCTCTCTGCTGGGCCAAACTGTTACTTGTTACAGTTCAAATAATTTTGTTGCTGAGGCCTTTAAAGCACATCAGACCAGTGTGGGTGTGTTTGCTTAAGCACAAAGGTGAATCTTCTAAGGACAGTGTTGTTTCACTTGGGGGGAATTTGCATTCATTATTCTTAAGTTCCTATTGCCTCAAGTTCCTCAATTACCCATTTAGCAAGGAGTAAATAACGAATGCATTGCACTTAGAGCATCATATTGATGTCTGCAAACATTTGTGTTTCCATAGGCTCTCTCAGGAGCTTATCTTGGAAAGGCAAATGTGTAGTTAAAGCTTCCACCTCAAATTTCCTTTCCCACTAGTTTGCTGAGTGGGTTTTAAACCAAAAGCCACAAGAGACAATTACTGTAGTCCTCTGGGCAGGTTATGAACTTGGAGCAAGCTATCATTAGGTCTTTCTCCCCTCCTCAATGCTTCCTGTGGCCAGTTTGCTTAAGGGCTCTCCTCCCTCTCTAGCGCTGAGGATGAAGCTTAGGCTTAGAGGAAAGGGACCGATCTGAAACTAGCCCCAACCTTAGCTTCCTGGCTGGAGTGAGATGTCTTCTGAGGTCAAGCAGAACCAGGCCTGATGGAGAATCATCTTGTGGGGTGAATTCTATGGAGAACTTGAGGCACTTTCCCACCTTCCTGACAATTTTGTGTAGCTGCTGTCACAGTTGCCTTTCAACTGATAGAAGACACCCCCCATACCAGGTGGTGTCGTATGAATTTGGTTCCTCTCCACAGGGAGAGTGACATGGGTCCTCCCAAGCACAGACCTTCAGTCTGTTGCTGCTGCACGGGCAAGGGGAGGGAAGGGCTGCCCCAGCATTTGTCCTTTTCTCATAGTTTGTGCATGGTGTGGGAGGTTGTCTGAGTGACTTCATGGGTCACCTTTGTGCAGTACTAGATATGCAGCAGACCTATGACATGTGGCTAAAGAAACACAATCCCGGGAAGCCTGGAGAGGGAACACCACTCACCTCGCGAGAAGGGGAGAAGCAGATCCAGATGCCCACCGACTATGCTGACATCATGGTAATCAGCTGATCTCTTGTTCTTTATTCTTCCTCCTCAGTGCTGACAGCCTGCCGCTCTCCTGTGCTCCAGGTGTGAGCTAGCGGGGGGCTGCATTTCTCTTCTAACGTAGTTTAAATGGACGGCTTGGAGCAGCACAAGGGCAGCACAGCTGAGGCAAGAAGAGATTGACCTGGGGTCAGCAAGGCTGTGCAATGGCTTTTCTGTTAATCCTCAAGTCATTAGGAGTCTACCTTAGGTTCCCTTTTGTGTGGGCTCAGCCTCTCTCCAGGCTTCCTGCCTGTTCCTGGGCAAGCTGGCAAAACCATTGCAGGCCTGTTGGAAAAGGAAGAAGCTTGGAGAAGAGCTGGGTCCGGAGCACAGCGGCCTTGGAAAACTAAAGGCAGATGTGCCTCCTTAGACTCCTTGCTGGTGTAAGGCTTTGTGCTCCTGAAGAGTCCTGCGTTGCCTGTGCATCTGGGAACCTTGCAGTGAGACCCCACTGGGGCCATCAGCAGGGCCAGGGGGACCATGTCCATGAACTGAGCTGCCCTGTCTGCTGAGCCTGTTTGGGCCATAGGTAGATGCCAACAGAGCATCTCCTTAGTTTCATGCCAACAGAGCATCTCCTTAGTTTCCCTTTAGTGACAGCACAGTTCCCTGAAGATGACATGGCAGAGAACTGTGGGAAGTCATAGACTGAGTGGAGTTTCCAGGATGCTCTGGAAGGAGAGGGGGGAGAGGCAGTGCCAGCACAGGGAAGGCAGATAGGTGTGAATGTCAACACACTGACTGGCCCTTTGCCCTGTCTGCACCGGTTAGATGGGCTACCACTGCTGGCTCTGCGGGAAGAACAGCAACAGCAAGAAGCAATGGCAGCAGCACATCCAGTCGGAAAAGCACAAGGAAAAGGTCTTCACCTCAGACAGTGACTCCAGCTGCTGGACCTACCGCTTCCCCATGGGCGAATTCCGGCTCTGCGAAAGGTACCGCTGTCTCATCTCCCTCCTGTGCTGCTGCTGCAGGGACAGGGTAACAAGCCCAGCACCTTTGTCATCCCTCCTCATCCTCTTATAGAGTTCCCTCTCACAGAGACTTCTGCATAGAGGAGGAGTGGGATGAGATGACAGGTTTGGGTTACAGCGAGGCTGCTCTTGGATCCCAGAGGTGCTCAGCCACAATACTGAGGGATAAAAATACACTCCTGAGCATGTGTCTTTAGAAAAGGAGAGCAAGTTTCATGTCTGCACCTGTGCACTCCATAGCCAGGATGCTCTCAGCTCTCCGGCTGCTGAACAGTCCAATTTGGCCTAGTGCTTGGGGGAATCCCAGGTGCCTTATTAAATGGTTTGAATGCTCACACCCTCTGAATCATCACCTTGAGGTGCCTTGAGAAGGTTAGATGCCATTTTGGTTAGAGAAAGCTCTGTCTTTTGTGGTGGTTACCTGGCATTTCCTTTCTTGTGCACTGGTTTCTCCTCATCCCTGCTGGTCCAGTTCCAGCTCACACTGTTTTGTGCTTTTAACTAAATCCCCTCATAGCCATTGCTCTTTTCACTGCTCTGCTTCTGTTCCCAGTCTCTGTTGCCTTTCCCACCTGCATGGGTTTGTAAGAATTGTCTCGCCCTTAAAAAGGAGAATTCACAGCATGTTTCAGTGCGTCCTGATCAAGTATCCCAGACAGGGAGCTCATAAACCCATCCTGGGGGTGCCCTCTTGACCGTGTTTCTTGTGCTGGCAGGTTCCAGAAGAATAAGGCCTGTCCTGAGGGAGAGGAGTGTCGCTACGCCCATGGCCAGGACGAACTGACGGAGTGGCTGGACCGGAGGGAAGTGCTGAAACAGAAACTGGCCAAAGCCCGCAAGGACATGCTGCTCTGCCCCAGGGATGACGACTTTGGGAAATACAACTTCCTATTGCGGGATGGTGTATAGTAAGGGCAGGAGGAGCCTGTCAGCTGCAGAAATACAGGGTGGGTTTTCCGAGTGGCAGTAGCAGGGAGAGCAAGATCTATGTTTTGCAAAGAGAACTTTTTCTTTTCTTTTGTTTAAAGATTATGAGATGATGATTTATTAGTGATGAATGAATTTGTGAATTTGATTCTCCTTGGCCAGCGAACGCCATGCTCACCGAGTTTGTGATCCATCTTTTCTCCTTTCTTTCCCCCAAATTCTCCCTCCACTCCATCTTTTTATTTTCACTGTCCAAAGGAATTAATTCAGTTTGTACTGGGCTGCAAAACAGAGCATTTCTCCTTGTGTCACTACTCTGTCCTTCAGAGTACAACTGTGCAGGTCTGGAGGACAGAGCTGAGAGAAAGGGCCAGAGAAGTTGTGGATGCCCCATCCCCCGAAGTTTTCAAGGCGAGGTTAGATAGAGCTCTGACCAACATGGTCTAATGGAAGGTGTTCTTGGACAGGGGGATTGGTACTAAATGGTGTTTAAGGTCCCTTCCAACGCAGGCCATTCTACGAGTCTATGATTTTATGATATCTGGTGAAAAGATGACCATGAATTTCATGTGCTCCCTTTTTCAGTGCTGCAGAGCAAACCCCACTCATCCTGCTGCAGCCTTCCTGCTCTCCTGGGAGTTCAATACCAGAAGAATTAGGAATTGAAGTACAAAGAAGGAAAACCACTAGATCTGGCTTTAAAACATCTAGGCTTAAGCTCCTGCTGTCTGTATTGCCCTGTGGCATAAACTGGTGTTGAGGAAGATAACAGCCTGTGGTGTAGCAGTGCGGGTAAAAGCAGCAAACTAATGAAACTGCTTGCAGCAGCAGGAACTGTGTTGTAGGTGACTTCAGACTGTTCCAGCTGACTGTATCCAGAAATCAAATTGGTGACTCTTCATTAGATGTCTTTCTCACTGTGTGGCAAGTATTCAGGGTAAATAGTTTTGGTTTTGTTTTTTTGGCTGATGGGACTACTGCAAGTAAGATTGAACCTATATAGAAGGTGTAGTGGAGTCTGTGACAGACCCTGTGTCACTGTAGTCCATGCAGCAGTATCAGTCAGGAGGAGGGCTGTAACCAAAAGGAGCCTGTGTTTCTGTGTTGCCTTGTGTCCTGAAGAGAAGGAAGGGAGGTAATGGTGTTCCCTTTTTGCTCTTTAAATGATGTGTACTTCTGGTTACTTAGAGCTGTGTTTTTCCCTGCGCTGCCAGAAGACCTGGATGGGAACCTATTTAAAAGGACACCATCAAGCAGTGATGGAGCATGGGCAATATTTAGCCGATGATAATCCATCTGGAACCACTTACCAGCACCAGAGGTCCAGCTCCCTCCTCCTCAGAGCCGGGGCAGGGAGCTTGCAGATGCACAGTGCAGCCAGGACGTGACCCAGGGCAGGGACAGTGTTTGAGAGTGAGTGGCACAGTGGGACCCAGCCATGCACCTGCTCCTGCCCTGCCTGATGTATGCTGTGATGGGGGAACCAGTGATGGTGAGCTCTGGGCCAGGATTTTTGGCTTTTATAGTGGCAGCAGGAAGAGGCAGTACTGCTCGGAATGCCAGCCTTGTCCTTTCTGGTGGTCTCTTCCTGTAAGCAGTAAACATGTGTCCTGTCCTGAGCTTCCCTCTCCTCTCTTCTGCAGTCCAGCTGTGCTTTGCAGTTTTGTATGCAGGGATGGCACCATCCACTCAAACACAAACACATCTCCCTCTCAGCCTTCACCAGGGATGTCTTTTTCATACGGAGTCTCCCTGGACAGCAATCTTGGACTCCTTGGGGCTGGCAGTGCTGTGTAGATGGTAAATACAATCTGACCGTGAAGTGCTTGGTGCTTTGGCATTGCCAGGTCTCCCTCTTTCCTCCCTGCTCCCATATCATTGAGGTTCACAGCTT